AATATTGCAGCCGGTCGGCGGAAAATTATTAAGGTAGGATAAATTGGGTAGTTTAGTTCATATACTGTATGCAGCAATAAATTAGGTATCGCAAACAAAAACTATTCTGAAAGAAATTCGGTTAAACGTGTTTTTGATAAATTTAAATTGAAAACTGTATTAATATGTTTAATTACAAAATAAATTAAAATTTTAACAAATTTAACATACATTTGAACATAAAACGATGATCAAAATAAATTACAATATCTGTATGCCTATGAAACAAAAAAAAAACTTCAAATTTCTACTGTACAAAATATTCTATCAGAAACCATCCCAGATGTAGAGATTGGAGCGAAATTTCTGGTCAAAAAGTTGTTCACATACACAGCGGCGTCGAGTACGTACTTTTGATGGTTCAATTGAACCACCTGGATTGGGTCGAGTGGACGCTGGTCCTGGGTGGTAAGTAGATAATTCAATAGGAATAATAGTATTATTCTAAAATAATTTATTTAATTTAATAAATTTAATTGATGCCTGTTTGTTATATATTTTTAAAAGGTATTATTAATTAATGGGCCATTGGGTGGGTTGGTGGGTGGGTTGTATGTTCTAAACAAAAATGATTTAAATCCGGCGCCATTACACAGACGGACAAAAAGAAAAGCACGCTTATTAAAACCAATACATTCCACACTTCGCTCAGTATCTCAAAAATAGGTATTGTTCGTTCCATAACGTATAATTTCTAGATTATAATGTTATATTTTATTGTCTAAATTTAAAAACAAAACTTAACGTGAAATTCCATACAATGGATATTGTATGCCTATATCTATGTTAATATATAAAAAAAAAATTAAGAAAAGCAATTTATTTTACATTACTGTCGGTTTATTAATTGTGTTCATAAAATAAATTACAGATGTTGTCCAAAGACCTTTGAGCTCCAGATAAGCCGTATAATATTATTGAAAAAAAAAACACCGATTTTCATAATACATACGGAAGGTATATTGTATTCCAGTAGTTTCATTGTTGTACAATATTATAATACACCTATTATCCGTCCTTACGATTTCGTTGATAATTTTTATCAGTAATACAACATTAAACAGTTACAACAATAATCGTTTTGATATCAACCTAAATTCAATGTAAACACCGTATATATTTTGTCTAAAGACGGATATTCTAACGCTGATTACCGATATCTATTATTTACTTATACCATATAATAAAATGTGTTATAATAATATAGATTATAGGTATTTACTGTAGGAACGAAGAAAACAGCCAGCCGTTGCACGTTTTATTTTAAAAACCACAGGTGGCCATCCGTTTTGGATAAATAATATAATAGTATGCGATAAAATAGTGAATTCTGTTTACAGTATGACTCACCCGGTGACGGTATTCTTTAATAACGCCGTAGCATGCAATATTAATAATGTATAATCAAAGAGTGAGAAACGCAGGATCATGAATCAGTGGTGGATTTTAGGGGAAGCCGGCAGGGGTGACGTGGCAAATGGCATCTTTCGATTTTTCTTTAAAATTTGTTACCTAAATTATACAGGTGTCCAATGCTTTAAATGAAAAGAGGGAGTGTCCATCGGTGTACAAAAAAAATATGAGTGTAAAATAATATATTAAACAAATTTTTAACCACGAGATTTATTTTCAGTTACGGTCTAATAAGTATACCAATAATACCAGTTTGCCAACCACCTTAAATAAGCTTCAGATCTACCACTGTCACGGATAAAACATGAACTATTATAATTATTCCTAATAGTCTTGATTACACAGTGGTCCGCCTTTTTTTTGTATAAGACTGCAGAAATAAAAATGAGCCGATACTGCTGATGGGTGCACCTACGTTGTAGGTGGAAATTTAGGAAAGTATGATTGGTACATAAAGTTATTTGTAAGCAACGATAAACCATTGCTAACGAAAAACGAATTCTGAGCGAAATTCGTTTATACATGATATGAAAGGCCATATTTATGATTTTCATCAAAATTTGAAATTAAAACCATTATAAAATGAAAATTATTACACTATACTCTACTTTTTATTTTCGATCACTGTGTGAAATTTTCAAGCATTTCTGTTTGATCAAACAACTGTATCTACATAGTACCTACCCAGTGGTGGACTGGCCACGGAAGTTAGGAAGATTTATCTTCCTGGACCGGCGGATTAATAGAACCGGTGGTCTCAAGATCGTACCTGAGTGAATTTCAAAGGACCAACCTCCTCTTCCAAATATTTTTCGTTTTATATTCTGTTGTGTGAAAATAATTATTACAATCAGTAAAATTAAAACACCAAAAATGTTTAGTTTTCAAATCCCCCCCCCCATGAAGTGTATTTTCCAGTTATGGCCATGGGTGGCTGATTAGGCCAGTGGCTATGCGAAATATACGTTTATTAACGTTCAACTTATGGTGATAATTTCATATTTTATTAGTGGAACAAATTGGGAAAGCATAAATTATTATTTTTTTATCCTTCAATTAAAAATCAGTGCTAGGTTTCCAGTAGAAAATTTGTTAACAGACTGATAAAAATAATATAAACAAAGTACGCATCATGGTAAAATCAAATACAATCCTTCTGTGTTCTGTAAAATCTAAAACAAATTAATGGACTTGGCCTGAAACAAAGGTTTTTTAAACTCCGCAATTTTACCATAGAGTACCTACTGAATAAAAATTACAAATCTCGCAAAATAAAAATATCTTTAAATAGCTTAAATTTTTTGACCATGTCTAAATAAGCAAATATACATTTTCTGTCCAAATTTTAAGTCCATGGAGTCGATACGAATATTTTTAACAAAATTTCAACAAAAACATTAACATTTTTATAAAAAACTTAAAAATGGCAAAAATGTTTCGAAAATTTTGCTACGTCTAGAAAAGTGAAATATAAGTTTTTATAAGTATTTTTAACTGAATTACAATAAATAACAAAATTTAAAAATAATAAAAGAATTATTTTCGTAAATTTCCCGTTTTTCTTACGTTTTATCCTGATTTTTCCCAGATATTATGAAAACTGTTCGGAAAATCAAAAAAATGACCTCCTAAAAGTACCATCTGGACAACATTCCCATTCAGAAATCATGTCTTGTGTATATATCTGAGCAAGATTTATGGTCGAATTTTCGTACACAGGATAAAAAAAAAATTAAAAAAAATTAATATCTTAATAAAACCAATACATTCTTCACTACACTCCTAATCTAAAAAAAATGAACACGCCATAGTGAAACCAATATATACGCTCCGAATCTAAAATAATATATTGAACTTCGTAAATTACCTGCTGTGGCATTATTTGGGCCGGGTCTTGGGTGGGGAGTGATGGATAATTTTTGAACATATTAGAGAAGGAGGCTACTCATTAGCTTAGATTATGGTCAACATTTTGGTCAAATTTAACCAAAAACATTTAAATTTGTGTTTATATATTTTATTACTCTAAATTTATTTTCAACATTTTGTATATCATTATTATGAGAAAAAGGCAACGGAGAGCAGGATTTAAAACCCATAAACCCCGTAAGGGTTCAAGGCATTATTCTCCATACTTTAATTTCCTTTTTTTTTTTATTAAAGAATTAATATTTTTGTGAAGTATTATTAATATAAACTATTTTTTTCTGCATTCGTCCCTGATCTAAATATATAGGGCTCCGACTCAGCATGTGCACTTGGTCATTATTTCAGTTACTATTGGTGAATACAAGAGTAATTGGGTAATTTGATCATTCCAAATATCGTAGTATAGTAAGATTTTTCTTGTATTGTGGTAAAATATGTACCAAGGTTCATTATTGCAAATGGTTTCCCCCTTCCCCGCCCAATACTGAATCCACCGCTGTCAGTTAATCAGGCACTGCAGGTCAGTGGCTATTTATTGCGACTTAAGCCACTCTTATTTTTTGGGCGGGTGTCGGTTGACGTGTGAACAAATTCGTCACTGATTGGTGAATTTATATGTATATATACTAAGGGGCAGTGGCGCTGAAATCCTAAAACTGTGGTCGGACGAAACAAATTTCAAGAGGTCCCAATAACTTAGCACAGCTGCCCATTTTATGTTCAAAATTATGGTTAGCGTAGGTTTTTATTTTTGTAATGAAGTATTCATTTGGTTTGGCAACCAAACTTTAGCCACGAAATGAAGTGGCCCTAGGCTTAATTTTAAAAATCTTGACCTTAACGCGTAAGACTCGGTCCCACTGCTGAGAGGACTTTAGCTGTGTCAAATTCAAAAAAAATTATAAACTATTCAGCATTGAAAAATTATTACTAATACAATAATAATCATTACATAACATTTGCACTATTTATATCAACGAAGCATGAATTATCGTACTGTACAATTATCTTTTTTTTTTCGGTCAAGTTTTTTGAGTTCCTCCCCGCCGTATTGAAAAATCCTGGATACGCCACCGATTATATTAAAACGTAAGTCAATAAAGTTTGTTCGCGTGAAAACAGTGTCAAATCCGGATAATTTTTCTGGGGGCGGGGGCATTACTAAAATATTATAGCAATGACTTATTCTCCTATCTTACTAAGACCGGTCAATTTGTCGATTAATTTACCCACGTTTAACCGGGGGATGGGGGGGGGGGCAAACAAAATTCCAAGGGGGCTAACACCCACCAGTCACATGCCTGGATTCAACACTACGGTATATTATACCGTACATTATTACAACGCTGAACAAAAATAATTTTACTGCGGCTGATTAACGGACGCAGCGCTTCGGCGGTTATTGCATGCGATCGCTACGGCACGCCGCCACCCCGGTGCGAAAATAAGGGAGATTAAGGCGAACCGAGTACGTTGATATGATAATAACGACAATAATAAAATACCTCTTCGGCGCGATAAGAGCGCCGATACGTCCAATAATAAATCGGCGGGCCCCACCCGCGGTCCGAGTCTTATCGCCGCTGACCGCGACGGCAGCGATTAGGAGGAAGCCGCCGCCGCGGCCGGAGCATTTGAACGATACGGATTTTCAATCGGACGAATTCGATTATTTCCGTGCATAACGCGTACCAGTGCACAACCGCCGAAGACCACCGACCGTTGCAGTTGTTGAGGTCGCGAGGTCCCGTTTACACCGGTTTCACGTAATATTCACGCCCTCCCGCCGCCCGTCATTGCAATAGCCACGATTGCTTTTGCCCGCCCGTAGACGTTTCTCGTTTCCGATCAACTATGCGCTATACTGTAGCAGCACGACAATAGCAATAACACCGCCGTAAACGTCGCCGTGTTGAAAACGCAAAAAAAACAAAAACAAAAACCCCTTCAGAGTGTCCGCGTCGTTCGCCGTACCCGCAAGCGTATAATAACAATAATAATATTCGGTCGCCGTTCGTTGTTTTGGAAATCAAACAGAAATACAAAAACAATATTCGTCCCGCCATTCCGGTAAACGGTCCGCACGGTTCGTGGAAAATGTTCATAAACGATTTTCAATTCATGGAGTCGCTGCCGTCAACGAACAACAACTTCGTACTCAAGACCGAACCGTTCGGCGGCGAAGGGCCCACCACTTACAACGGGAACGTTTGGATCACGGGTATATCACGTCATCGTATTATTATTACCTAACTTATCCATTTATAATCTTACGGAATAATCGTGTCGTAACGATCGATTGTGTTATTGCGTTGTTAATTATTCGAGATTTGACAATACCTATATTGTTAGGCAAGTCAAATCAAACGTAACATTAATAATAATAATGATATTAGGTACGATATTGTTGAGGGACATACCGTAATGGTACGGTTATCATAACGGTAGTAATAATAATAACGTAACTCGTACTTATCGTTTTTGTTTCGTTTTTTTCGGGAGGATCGCGGCCGACCGAATATTATTATTCGCTGCGCCGCGGTAATAATTATTTTTATTATTATTACAATATTCGTCCTGTCGTCGTCGTCGTCGTCGTTTCACTCACTATCGACGATCCCGTTTCCTGTTTGCTCGCGCCCGTCGCCAATATCGCAATAATAATAATAATAATAAATTGTTATAGTACCGTACCGATTGGCCCGGGACACGGACGTTTCAAAAACGATACGATAGTGTTTCACGGTGTTTCGGTCGTGTATCACGCGTTCCGAACCCGTCGAAATATATCGTTCGGAAATGGTAGTTGACAGTATTTGGAGGACGTATTTTATACGTATATGATGCCCGCATCCACAACTGTCCCGGTCAACAGCTACCGGGGTAATGTACAGAAACAATGATGCTCGCGCAGTTTTACGAGTAAAACCGGCTTAGTTTTGATTTCGGAGTAAAAGCGCTCGCGACGGAATGTAAAAAAAGGACGGTATTTTCGAGGGAATGTCGTATAGGTGTTTTTTGAATTATGAACTATTCAAAAATCAAAAAAAAAAAAAACCAACAAAATTAAAGGTTTTTTCTATAATTTATATCGCGCTGTAAACATATCACGAATAATACAAAAATCCCGCGACGTTCCCTCCGAAATGTCGTTCTCTATAAATTTCATGATCGGTACTTTTACTCTAAAATCGAAATCAACCTAGTTTTACTTGTTCTGCGTAAACATTGTTTTCGCGCATGTTATACCCGCACCCCTTGACCGCGCGCCCGAACAAATTCGGTTTAAAATCGACGTGAATCGATAATTTCGCGGTTGTCGCGCGGCAATGCCTATCCGATATTGATTGTGACGGGCAAAAGCCGAAATCGGGCAAATCTCAGAAATGCCCGGGCAAAATGCCAAGTGTCCACCGCGACACGTGAGCAAAACGTCATATTTCGGCATTCGCCCGGACAAACCTATGGTTGCGACCCCTGTGACGGCAAATTTAATTTGTTCACAAGCGGGACGGGCATACCGTGTTAACGATATTACGATACTGCGCTATTAACGCTATCGCAATCATTTACAACACACGCAGTCCGCGGTAGTAAATAAATTGGCCCGCGCACGGAAAATGTCTGGTTTTTGACATGTCATAGTGACCGACATAAAATGAATATTCGGACAAAACCGTAGCTATATTTTTATCGTACGATTTATTTATTAACGAATTTATGAGCGTTACGGATTCGCCCGAACGAGGTTGGCCACGGCTACAGGTTTGTCCGGGCAAAAGCCGAAGTATGACGTTTCGCCCGAGTATCGCGGGCACTTGCCGTTTCGCGTACTTGCCCGGGCGTATCTGAGATCGGTCCCGAATTCGGCTTTTGCCCGTAACAATAATTGTTACGGCAGTGTGGAAACTCACGCGCTCGTAAACGTTTCCCGACCCGTTTGAAATGTCGCGGCGGTTTAAACGCGCAGATTAAACGCCCTTTTTCTTGAAACTTTTTTCTCAATCTCCGTCGGCGAAACTCGAAAAAATCTGTTATAAACGGCGTTTCCGTTATTATTGTATCCGGGGTACACGGACGCGCGCGAGTATGTGACGGACAAATGTTTCGATAATTATTAAATTGTTCGTCCGAAATTGCCCGTTAATCGGTTATGCATCGGTTGCGTCCCGCTTAAAATAAACGGCGATGTTCAAGGAATTATTTAAAATATCATCGCGTATCGTAATTTTTATTTACCGTAAAATAATATGTCGACTATTATATTATTTTGAATGTAAAAAAACCTAACGCGACTCTAATAATATTATATGGACGCTCGGTGTTTGGCAGAATCGTAAAGATACAAGGATCCGTGGTTTTCTCGGTCGGACGTTAAAAACCGATTTTTGAAAAAAATGATAGTCATGAAACATATTTTATTTATGATTTTAACTTTTTTTTTTTTTTTTAGGTTAGCAATAACTTCTTTTCGGTTGGAATAGGGAACGTTTTCATTGAATACTTTTTTTGTTTTGTTTTGTTCGTACGTCCCTAATAATATAAATACGCATTATCGATTAGCTTTTATTGTCGTTTATAATCGCGAAGACGAAATGAAAAGTGTCATTTGTACCCCAAACTTAAAATTCAAATTGTTCGTTCAATAATGGTCACAGTCGTTTTTGCACACGCACAACGGACCGTACACGTATTTCTCCACGAAACCGCGTCGCTTGGACCCGGAGTGTCGCTTTGAACCTTTTGCTGTGTAAATATTTTTTTTTTTTTGACGTTCGATCGATGTAAACGCACTAAAGTAATCCGGCCTAGGCGACCGTCTAAATTCAATTCTCGTTCCCGGGACGGTATTCGGATAGCGCCTCACGGCGAGACCAAACAACATGGTCCGCACTCAATGTATTCTCGGCTTTACTACTTCACTCCACTCGTGTTCTTCGTTCCTATCCGGTATGTACGATATTCAAACTGCAGCACGCATGAGACGAAACGCGAATGTACTGTTCTATTATAGTGTTCTCTGTTCTCGCCCGAGAAACCCTTTGTCTCGGTCAAAAAGTACCGACAATAAACGGAGAACGGGACGGCGAGAAACTGTTCACATTCGCGGTTCTCGGGTGTTCTCGGGGCTTCTGGACGTGAATCTGGATGCGCCAGGAGAACGGCGCGCCTAAAAATATAAGTGTATACTCGTCTAAAACAAACCGCTTAGGTATTTCCCGTCGTTGGATAGGTAAATAATTATTTTAGTTATTGTGGTTATCGGTACCTGCAGTAACCGCGGCGGCGCTTCGAATTGGTTTATCGGATAGAAACTGTCGTTTTTCGACAATTTTCTTCCAGGACGGGGGAAAAGAAACCGTTGGGTGTTCTCCGTTTTCCTCCAGAACGTGTTTGTTCGGACTAAATACGTTTTCCTGCGGATCAATCAAATTAAAAACAAAAAACCAATTACGATATTATAATAAGTCACTAGTTTTAACCGACTGTCTCGAGTCGAGACTCTCGACTCGTGTAGGTAGGACGGAAAACGAAGCTTATTAAACTTGCGACGAACGTCTTCTACCGATTGCGATTAAAATCAACCGGTGAAACACAACAATTAACTATTACATTCAATAATAGGATGACCAGATCAACTTAAAAATAAAAAAACCGGGACGAAAAATTATTCTTTAAAAATCTTTACTTCAATTTATTATTTTTTTTTTTATGTATAAAATATAAATACGTTATGTCATATTTAAGAAATTACAATTTTTCAATTATACGTATACAGTTTTATTAATTTTACTTCGAATTTTACTTTGCTGCCAGTTTTAACAATTCACTTTTGGTTGGAGACTAAATTATTAAACTCCGACCAACTTTAACAATTTAATACAATATGTTATTCATATTTTGTTTACACCTTTCTGCGGACGCGCGAGTAAACAGCGTTTGCATTGCTCGGTCACGTGACCGTGTAGATCTATCCTTCTTCTCTTCCGAGGGACGAGGGACGGACGGCGAGAAATTAAATCGTTGAGAACGGGGGGGGGGGTGGATAATAAAGGCGTGTTAATGAATGTTTATTTTTAAATTCGTTTCAATTTCAGCGGTTGTATTTACATACATCAATAAAATTGTCTGCCTACAATTATATAAGTGTACGAAAAAAAATAACGCGTTGATCTTACATGTTGTTATTATATTTATTTGTCGTATAGTACATACGAGTGTTATAAAACATATAAAAAAAAAAAAACTCTGACGAGAAATGATTTCAGTATAAACGAAGGGATTTCGGATATTCCGCATTATTTCAGTTCGAACAACTTGTATAATATAAAATATAATAACGGCTTAATTATGTTAGATCGCCATAATAATGACAATAATATTATCGTATGCGGAATTTCCATCGGTTCGAACGCTATTTCGCGAAGAAAAACTTGTGAAAATTACGTAACACTATTATAATATCGCCATTGATTATAAATACCATTGATTGTTCATATCATTATCCACGAACAATACGCGGGTAAACACAAACGGTTTAATACTACATTTTATTGAAAAATCGCAATAATGCCATTATTCCGAACAGACTCGGTGGCGCCGAAGCTATAGTAAAAATAGTCGAGCAAACTTTCCGAAATAGGTAACGCAAACCACCACCACTAACCTAACTGCCTAAAAATAAATTTCACAAACTCTTGAGGGACAAAGCGATATTCCTATATTTACAACAACCCCCTTTTTATATATTTTTTTTACAATTTATTTAAATATATATATATGTTATAAAAAAAAGCACGAACATACATCGCGTTTGGGCGCAGACACTGTTGTAGATGGGAAGTTGGGAATGTAGGATACAGACGGGAATTTAATGTATATCTGTGAGCAACAATAAACCATTGATAACGCAATAATTATTCTGAGCGGAGTTCAGTTGATAGTGTTGCTTTGTCAACAAAATAAATGACATATTATGATAAAATTATTACATTACAATGTGCGTTTCCATGACAATAATGATTGTCTAAAAAAGATTAAAATAACTTAATAATAATAGAAAATAAATAAAAACGGTTGCCAATGACAACCTTATTTATCTTTATATTATTTTTCAATCTTTTCTAACCTAAAGAACTAGGTTTTCCTGATTATTTCGAATATTAATGAGAATTTCAAAAACTGACTTTTCTAAAGTACCGCCCTGAGAATATTTTCTTTCAGAAAAGGTGCTATACTTGATAATCGGAGTAAACTTTCTGGTAGAAAAAGTGTTCACATAAAAAAAAAAAAAATCTTTGTAAAACCAATACATTCTTCACTAAACTCAGAATCTAAAATTAATAACGTACATAAGTTGTGCAATGGTAATAATTTAAGTTAAAAATAATTAATGGTATAATTTCACAATCAGTATACAATAAAACAGTAAAATATTCGATAAAAAAACAAATCAAAAATAATAAGACAATTTAGAATCTTAATTTTAGATTCGGGGCGTGGCGAGGGATCTATTGGTTTTACTATGTGTATAATGTGTGTTTATGTTCTTTTTCTGTCTGTAAACGACTTTCCGAAAGCAGATCTCCCTTAGAATATAGCATCTTTTCTGAAAGGAAGTACTATCAAGTTTGTGTGTTCAAGAGGTTTCTTCTACATATAGTTCCTTATATTCTAAAAATGTAAAAAAGGCTAACTGAATAATTGATTATTATGTTATGAAAAAATAATATATCAATAAAAAGTATAGCATAATATTATCTGTAACCAACAAGGTGGCTACTACCACCACCACCATTACCACTGTTATCTCCACTACTACCACCACTTAAACACGGTTACTGGTTTGCCACCATAAAAAAAATATGATGTTATGCCCATCGATGCATCGATCTTGCACACGCCAATTGCTGTTCTTGTCGCGTCATTGGTCTCGATAATTTTTGCAATGTACATTAAAATCGAACGTAATAATATTAACGTTTGACTTGATTTAGGTATAAAATCTAATCATCATTATTACGTATTATTATTATTATAAGTCCAATTACAATGAATATTATATGAGTAGAACAAAAGAAAAAAAAACAACTATAATATTAATTAATATTTAATTAATAATTAAATGATTCTAAAAAAAGGAAAACAAGTACGAAATATGCATGAAGTGTACACATATGCATGGAAAAACACATTTTACTTATGAGGTATCTTATACCTACACGTTGTAAATTATTTTTTTGTTCGATATTTCGAATACCTTATCATGATTTTTACGAAAACGTGGCTTGTACGCAATTAAAAATATTAAAATTCCGGAATTTGATGTCTATTCTTTGACTATTCTAGGTTTTTCTTGACTTTCCGGTTTTACTGATAGCGATAACCATGAGTTTGGTTTTTCAATTTATTAAAAGGATGGCAGCGTTATCGAACATACAAATCCTGTGTCGAACAATTGTTGTACACGGTTAATCGTAAATCAGTCTATGGTGAAAATTAATTTCAATACTTACCGTCTCATTAAAATAAATTGAAAATCGTAGTAGGCACTCTAGATCTTTGATACTATTATATGATCATGTTTACAACATTTTATCTCCATGGCTCCATTTGGATTCAACGCCAAAATAAAACCCTCCTACCGCAATAAAATAGTGCAATCATATTGATATTCAATCCGATTTTAATCACTTCAATCTGCCTTTTGAACCAACTCTTAATTCCCGAGTTTGAGCTCATTTGGTTCGGAAGGAGCCACCAATAGTATCGGAAAACGATAAATATCTATATAAGTTTCTCACGCTATGATATCCATTAGAGATATCTCGAAAAGCATAAAGTTTTTCGAAATTTATTTTGAGAATTTAAGAAACGAACAGCTCTAAAATATTGCTGGTAGTATTTGAATTTTCGATTACTGGTATTCAGTATTTAGTTGATAACAATAATTTCGATAACTACCGAAAAACCGGTAATACGATATTTTCGGTAATTACTGAATTTTATACGTATCAATTATTAAAACAAATAACATTGGTACATTATAATTTTAGTTTTTGAAGGCATGTTGTGTTGACTGATGTCGCTGTAATTTTAGATTATTCCAAGCGAAGAGAGTTTTACCGATGTTATTTGTCTGTGAACAATTTTTCTACCAGAAATCTTGACTAAATAAAAAAAAGTGACGATAGATCTATTTTGTTATATTTTTTATCCAGTTGGTAACGAAGAAAATCGATTTTTATTTTTCAAACTGTTTTATAATAATTGAGAAAAATAGTAAAGTTCACATTACCTAATGGTTTGATTATTCTGTTTTTTTTTTTTTTTTGTTGTTGTTGTTTGGTCTAAAATCATAGTGACCAGAAATTTTCATAGAATATTTATATTAGCCTTTACTAAAATTAACCGTGCATAAAATATAACTTACATAAAATACTTTAAAATACCGTATCACTATACCAAAAATACAGTATTACGATAGTTACAGAAAATACCGTTAATACAGTATACCGGTAGTTTCAAATACCGAAAATTGGATATCGGAAATTTACCAATACAGGTAATTACCGGTATACCGAAATTACCGTCAGCCCTACCTTATATTGCACCAGTTGGCTGAAACTAATCAAAGATTCACAGATGACAAATGTTGTTTACATGATTTATCTAAAAGAAATAATTGGTTTTTTCTTTCTGAATAACTTTTCTATTAGATGCATAGAAAATATTGGTGCATTGAGAGGTAATTTTTTTAATTTTATTTGTAGTTATCTTAATTATTATAAAAACTGAGAAGAAAACGTTAGAAAATGAACATGTTTATACAATAACAGTTTCTATTATATTTCGATTTGGTTTTTTTTTTTTTATTTTAATTTTGCCAAAAATAATTGTAGAGACCCAAAGCTTTTGCCCGATAATTATATTAGAACTTAATATATATAATACAATTTTCGAAAATAACCGATTCTAGGTACGGATGTAGCCACTGTTGTAGGTGGGAAGTTGGGAAGGTATAAGATACATAAAGTTATTTTATTTATCTTCGTAAAAATTTGATGTTCAGATGCTATTCTTGACATTTGGACGAAGATTTCTTGTAGAAAAATATAATCTTAACATTTTTAAATAATGAAATCGTTGTGCCATATTTCTCGACCTTTTTAGTTTTTCCCGATTATTTTGAACTCTGAAAAATCAAAAAATCGCCTGTCTAATGCATCAACTAGCTAAAATTTCCTTTCAGAAAAAGCGTTATACTTGATAATCGGAACAAGATTTCTGGTAGAAAAGTTGCTCACAGTCACATAAAGAAAAAAAATAATAATAATGAAAAAATTAAAAACATCATAGTAAAACCAATCTAAAATATTAAGGCATTTTGTTTAGCTATTTATACAGCTATTTGAAATTTTCGAGGGTTTTTTTTTTATACGGATTTTGGTCCAGTAAAAAAAAGCTTGCAAACTCGATACAGGGTTTATCATAATTTATGCTTGGTAGTAAAAAATAAGTCGATCGTAATGTAGTAATTTTAGTAATTTTCACCAACGCTTTAAGTTCAAATGATAAAATTCGTCGAAAAAATCCCAAAAATGTTATTAATTGTGTATTAACAAATTGGTATGATTTTTAATTTTAATCATCGAAAAATGTTTAACCGAACTTCGCTCAGAATTTTGTTTAGTTTGTGATGATTTATCGTTTCGTACAGTATGTATACACACATTCTCTTCACATCTTATCATTTTTTTTTTTTTTAATCAAGTACTCTGTAATATTATAATGTACCTGCATTTGAAATATAATATGTTTTAAGAAAATCAAGCAATTTAATATATTTGAAATGGTTTAACACACAATATGATATAATTTTAGGTAATTAGATTGCACACCAAACTGTTAAAAATGTAACAATAAATAACAACCGATTCATCTGTGTAGATACGATTTTGATAATCTATGATCTTTCTTTAAATGACCTATTAAATGTTTAAAAAAAAAAAAAAATCCCATAAGAAACCAGAATATAGCTGTGTTAATTAACACGCGTCTGATATAATTTATTACGATTCTCTACAGGTTAGATACACTTAACAATATTAATATATAATTTTAAAAGTCTATACACAAGTATATTATATACTTGTGTATATTCGTATTATATCACCGACAGTAAAATACTAATAATAAATAAATGATACGGTGATAAAGCGATAGATATGATAATATATCTATTATATTATACATAAAATACATTTTTTTTTTTTTAGTTATGTGAATAATATATAGGTATTATGATTTATTAAATAATATACCTAATACAATATTACAAAATACTGATTTCTATAACTTATATTTTCCGTAATGTATAATTATGATTTAAATAAATAATATGTTACTTCAGTGTTAATGGTGTTGGTCGTATAATATTCGGATTTTTTTAAACATTTGAATAGCCGGAATCTCCAATCCGAAATATTGAAATGATGAAATCCGAATGAGCATCCAAGTATTCGGATGACATTCAAATTTCTATACTCTCGAGTTTTCTAAATATTTATTTTCGTCGTGATCCGTGAGATAAATTTCATGAGACTGGATCTCAACTATACAATATATATTTTATTTGTTCGTAGCGTGATTTTTGTGGGTTCAATAATCTTTTTGATTTGTGCGTAACCATTATGACTAAAATTGTATTTTGCGTGTGATAATAATACACAATATATAGGTAAATTTTTATTAAAGAGTAATCAGTGATGTTATCACATACACGCCGGATACTCTCGAATAGTTTTTCAAAAAAAAAAAAAAAAATGCCTCAAGAATACCACTTATACCAATAAAACCGTATTATTCATACATATTGTAATTTGTTTTAATTGAACAATTTTCCATGCGACCCTTGCACTGGGACTCACAACTTGACGACTTGGGACTTTACTTGATTTATTAGTGTAATTACAGTGGCTAAGCGAGTGGGGGTGAAGGAGGACGGAGTCCCCTTTTTAGTTAAGACAAAATGATAAGCCCCCTGTAGTTTATATCGTTGAAGTCTGGGGGACGCTTTAGTTACCTACCTATTGTTATTGTTACATTTTCAATGCAATTTTTAAAATACGAATTAGTTTTATTAAAAAATAATTTGTTTATATCTTTTAAATTATATATAATGGGACACTGTTTTAATTTATTTTTACTGAGCAGACATATCCGTGATATAATATTTGCGGGTAAGGGTGCAGTTTATTTTTAAACCTTCGTAATATAATATTTTTATGAGAAAATACGTGAGTGAGAAAAAAACATTTTAGAAGTTATGTCTCCATGATGAGTTTCCTGAAAGTTTGGTTAGATTTAATTAATTCTCCGGAACGACCCTCAATTTTTGGTAGACATAAGGGATATTTCTCTTCGAAGTTTTTTTAATTTTAACTACAGTGTAATAAATGCGTGGTTTTAATAAAATTATAATATTATTATTATTATTCTACGGTTAATAAATATTATAGAACATTATAGGACGACGTACGTGTTTACGTATTATATTTACTGCGCTTATTTTTATTTGTTTACTGCATTATTATTGCAGTAATAAACCAATAAAAATGCACATATTATACGGTATTATTTTTGTTATGATATTATATATTTACTAAAATATAAAATCACGGTGAAATAAAAAAAAAAACCGTAAACGCAATTGATTCGACTCGTGTAAATAAACTTAAGACTATTATTTGTTCATAAATACAAAACGGCTGTAAAGACATATTCTTTCTTTGTCATTTAAAATGCGTTTACTGTATGTTTCTTTTTCAGTGGTTTATTGTAATTCGTTATCTTTGGCCATTGTTTGTTTAACTATTTCCTCCCTTGATTAATACAAACGTCTGACGTTTGCAATTTTACCGCACATCTTAAATCGGTTGGTAATTTGTATATATTTTATCTACAAACACATAGTATATGCAAACGAATACAAATGAGTACAGTTTGTAGTTTTGTTTCTTTACATAAATAATTCATGTTCGGATAATATTATTTTATAACGGGATATACAGGCTGATATACATTGCGAAAATCCGAAAAATATTAACAATTTTCGTAAATTCAAGAAACAAGCACCTTTAAGGTTTAAATTTAAACTATTTACTGTGGATTTCAAATAAAATTAATGGTAGTTTAACATTTTAGAGTTGCTTGTTTCTTAAATTTAAAAAAAAATTGAAAAAATTCAACGCTTTCCGAGATATCACGATGAATATAATGACCTCTCGGTATACCCTGTATAATATTATAAGCGAATATATTATGTAAAATAAAAAGCAAGCCTTTCCGTTTCGAATAAAAGCCTATTTTTTTCCTTATATTCAACTATAACTTTTTTCTCATACCAAGATCGTACCACCGAACACGCTTCCGATTTTCTTCTTAACTCGCAATAAATAATATTATACTATTTATTACAGTTCCTCTAAAATAGTTTTAAAATAAATTATATGGCGTACCGAAAGTTTCGAATGCCATTTTTTTTACTTTGTACAACTCTAGGCGATTTATGGACGTCCCGATTTACTGCTATTATTGATTTTTAACATCAACGTATATTGCAAACAAAGAGTCTCGAGATTAGGTATTGGGCAATATGCACATAATTGGTGTGATAACTCTCACATCAATTATGTTATAAACCTCATAATCCAACCAACCACCTGCTAATATTATGACAACAACTCTGCCGTCAATATCTGCATACACGTGTGGATATAATTAGGGGCGGGCCAATACATAAACTGATACTCGATATTTTTGATTTAAAATATCGGGCATCAAATTATCTGTGGTGTATTTAGGATTTTGCTAAGGAAGGCGATATCGAATTTGGAAATTGTGTCATTCTATACAAGGGCTAAAAAAATACATTTATATATATATATATATATATATTTAATTTTTATACTTTTATAAGTATAATTTATTATTCAATCTGCTATAAGACTATCCTTTAAATCAAATTCGTACTATTCGACTATTCGTAATTATTATGAATGGTATATTAATTATTGGTACGTTTCTAATACAACTATCTCATCAAATCTCGTTCATATTGGTTCGAATAGGTTGTTTCGTTTCAAACAAAAATACGTGTGCGTTCGGATTTCGTTGATATATTATTTATTTATTTATTTATAATAAACGGGTAATGACCCTTTTGAATTCGCAATATCAGGTTTACATTTTTAAGCATTTTACAGTAACAATAAGAGCTAAAATTAAAACAAAAATAATGAAAATACGGATACATAATAATAATAATGGTAAATGGTTAATTAATTTACAATAAGTTTTAGGCTAAATATACATTTCTCTTAAAAACAATACGTGGCATAAAGAAAAAATCCACATGATCAGTAATAAAATTTGCTATTTTTAATGCTCTAGGTAAGAAAAAAATGGAGCTATAATTATTTTTATAAAACGGTACATGAAATAAATTTGGATTTTTTAAACAGTGATTTGTTATATGAAACTTAATCATAGAAAGCAGATCTAGGGAAAAAAATGTGACCATTCAATATATCATAAATGAACATGATATCTGTAACTTCTCTTCTTACCTCATTGTCTACTTCTCACCTTCTTACCTTTCTTATATCTGTAGCTTGTTGCAAAAAGGGCCAATGCTACTTATTATGATGGTTGGGAAATGAGTTTTGAAATTGTTTTAATCTCCTGTAAGACTCTGTGACTTATATTAAATGTAAATGTTTGTATAATTTTCGATTTTTACAAAAGCTTAAAAAAAATAAAAATTTGTTCACTTTTTCTTTATTTAGCTTATTAAAAAGAAAAAAAAATGATATTTGCCCTTCTTGCACCCACCAAGCCACAGACATATGTTTTGACTGTAATGTAGGTACCAACACATCAGTGGCGTGAAATGAGCCACGGGCCCATAACATTTAGGGGCCCGAAATCAGGGCCCAAAGCATTATTAGACGAGTGAAGGCCTTTTTCGAATAACCCTTTTTTTTTTCTTATCGGTCTTTCTACAATATTTTACCACGGGCGTTAGAAGTTCTATAGTTACGCCACTGCGAACGCTTTGTTAGTTTTTCCAATAAGAAAATAAAGAAATTTCAATGTTTAGAAAATTAATAATAATAGTAAAAAAATGTCAGACGGTAAAAAACAACCGCCGATGGGTACCATATTGTTATACCGTTTCCTCCCCGATCGCTTCTCTCGAATACGCCGCCGTTGAGCGTCCGTCGGTAAAAAGCGGTATTGGTCCAGGTGTAGATATTAAGATATATTATAATGCATCGGTTACGTGTAAATTTCGCGGTGACTGTAACTCGGAAACTGATTTACAGCAGAATCGGATCTCAACGCCATGCCGGTGCACCGGGAACCGTCGTCCTACTTGCAGAACATCGACACGCCGACGGTACACTCGCCGCCCATGACCGGACAGAATCAGGCGTGTTCGATTTGTGGCGACCGGGCCACCGGGAAACACTACGGGGCGGCCTCGTGCGACGGATGCAAAGGATTTTTCCGGAGGTCCGTCCGGAAGAGCCACTTCTATTCGTGCAGGTGAGCCGTTATTGCAGTTGACTTTTTCATTTTTCGAGCGGACGGCCGTATTTCCCATCCGCGGCCCCCGTGTTCCTTTCGCCGGGCATTAATTCCATTACCTATGTACCTATATATATTATGTGTCTGAAGGGTTATTCTCTTTTTCTCGTTTCAACAGGTTTTCCAGGAATTGCATCGTGAACAAAGACAAACGGAATCAATGTCGATACTGCCGTTTAAGAAAATGTTTTAAAGCTGGTATGCGAAAAGAAGGTAAGTGAAGCAAACCCCCCCCCCCCATACCTCCTTCGTCGTACGATTAAACGAAATATTTCAATAGCGTTGTAGAGCCGTGAATTGAATGCACTCAAAAACTGTATAAAAAATGATATCAAATTCTGCTCCTCCTACCGAAAAAACAAGCCGCAAAATTTCCTGACCAATCTTCTAACACCACCCTCCGAAATAAACATCATTGTAAAACCAATAATATACATTCCTTTCGCTCCGCTCAGAATCTAAACAATTTAATCAGTTAAAAATGGCCATTTTACTCCCTTTAACTTTGCGAATAACTTTGTTACAGCCGTGCAAAACGAAAGAGACCGCATCAACTGCAGGCGACCCAGTTACGAGGAACAACCGTGCGCCAACGGTCTGTCTGTCACGTCACTCTTGAACGCCGAAATCCTGTCCCGTAATGAGTCTGATGTAAGTAGTAGTATACCTATTCTAGACTCATAGGCGCAACTAGGGGGTGCTAGAGGGTATTTAGTACTCCCAAGTTTAAAATTAGCACCCCAAAAAAACTCAATCGGGTTTTTTATAGTAATGACTAAATATTTTATCCATGAATTTCATAATTAATGAGCAGAAAAAAATATTTATAGGTTTCCTACAATTGTAAGTGATAGGTGTAGTTAACTATTTTTAGAGTCATGTAAAGGAGATTGTGGGGGCCACCAGAGTTGGTGGTCTAGTTGCGCCAATGAATTTCTAATTACGATTCTTTTTAACGTTTATTTTTATTATTTTTGTTTTTCATTAATATAATATATTAATAATGTACAGACGGCCGAAGACACAAACCTGGCGAACAAGCACGTGGCGAATATTGGCGACGTGTGTGAATCCATGAAAACCCAATTGCTCTTTCTGGTAGACTGGGCCAAACGCATACCAGCATTTACAGAACTCCAGTTGAACGATCAGGTAAATACTGCAGTGGGACGCAATCAGGATTTTTTGAAGGGGACCCGTATCACGTCTTTACGTATTTTAAAAATCACGTTTTAATAAATTTATATCACTCAAACGGGGATGGTGGAAGGGGGGGAGTGTCCAGACACCCAAAACACCACACCCCCCTGGTTACTTCATTGCCACCCAATATTAATTATTTTTTCGAGTCGAGAAGTTGGGGTATTTTATAGGTTCAGCGTGGTGCAAGACAATACAGAAATTTCAGTGAACTGTGGAGTTTGTTACTAAAAGAATTATATTAAGTGTGGTAGGATGAAATCACATGGTTTTCATGTGCCGATAAAAAGTATAAAAGGAATATTCTATGAGTACAGTGATGGTTTCATGGCGTGTATAGGTTTGAGTGAAAAAGATAAAATTAAAATAAAAGTTAAAGAAATTAAAATGTCAAGGTGGATGTATAACATAACCAGAACGGATTAGATTTGAAATAAATATAAGAGATAATGTATGTTGGTAAGTAGCCTAAGAATATTGCTATAGCAGGAAAAACGAGAAATAATATAATTAAATGATATAGGGCGAGATAGATAAATAAGAAAGTTGGGTATAGATGACTAGGATATGGTAGACCAAAAGTTTGACCAAAAATTATTAGTAATGCGAAATGGCAAAAACAAAAAATATTAATTTTTTTTGTATTTTCACTAGGTATCATTATTACGTGCTCATGCTGGTGAGCATTTGCTCTTGGGTCTGGCTAAGAGGTCGTTAATGCTCAAAGATGTGTTGCTGTTGGGAAACAATCGCGTTATAACTCGTCATGTACCTGGTAAGTGAACCAAATGTAACCATGATACTCAAAGAATGATGAATTTAATATTATTTGCAATAAATATTAGTTTTCTGTGATACCCAGTACTTATCAATTAAATAGAACTAAAAAAAATTGTGCCGTAATTATATAATATAATACAAAACATATATAATATATAATATTAAGTCAAATAAATACTTTGAAATTGTATAACATTAATACTTATTGTTGAATACTATTTAGAATAGACATAATTATTTGATACAATTCAAATATTTGCAATTTGAATATATTTATTATTGAGTCCGAGTTATTTATGAGAGTTCTAACTCTTCTATTTCCTAACAATATTTGTTTAATAATATTGAGTCTGATTGTGTATTTAATTCAATAATAATAAGTTGATTAAAATTATATTATTTATAATTCTAACAGATACATAATAGCAGGCTATTTGCAATAGAAATTACTATCTCTGAATCTATATCTATCTAATATATTTACTTATGACTTAAATTAATATTATGGTACTTATAGGCTTTAAGCATACCTATTAAGCGCGTTGTATTTGAAACACTATTTTGGAGAAGGCATTCTATTTTCTTGATATTTTACTTTGAGAATATTTTATTGCAGGTCTATAATTTTCATAAATTCGTAACTTTTCACAAAACGATGTGGATGTACTTAGTAGGTACTTATCATCAACTGAATATAACTGTTATTGGATTTTAAAAAATATTGATATTTCTTCACTTTTTTGATAATAATAAATATAAAGGAAATCGTATTATTCGTAATCTATTTTATATTTTACCCTTTTACGTTTAGACAACGGAATCCCATCAGACTTGGACATAAGCAGAGTAGGCTCACGTGTCTTGGACGAGCTTATCAAACCACTGAATGATGTTCAGATCGACGACACCGAATTTGCTTGCCTTAAGGCCATTGTCTTCTTCGATCCAAGTAAAAACAAAACAAAACAAAAATCATACTTTTACTATTGCCATGTTAACGGTTCATTAAATTTGTTTGCAGACGCCAAAGGCCTGAATGAATCGGACCGCATACGGCGAATGCGCAAGCAAATCCATAGAAACCTCGAAGACTACATCAGTGACCGTCAATACGAAACGTGTGGTCGGTTTGCTGAGCTACTGCTTACCCTTCCAGCGCTCCAATCCATCACGTGGCAAATGATAGAACAAATACAATTTGCAAAGCTGTTTGGAATGGCGCATATTGAACCTTTGTTACAGGAGATGTTACTTGGAGGTATACAAAATATTTTATAATATTATATATTAATTGTCTTATTTTATTATTATAGTTGAGTTTCTTCTTTTATTCTCGTTCTCCATATCTCCTTAATCTGTTGTCATTTCTTCATCAACTTCACATGTTTCTACTATAGCCACATTGTTCCCAGAGCTACCACTTTGCTACCCATTGAAATACTCCTTCTCTTTCAACATTTCCAAACCATCTAAATTTATTCTCTCATTGCTTCTATATAATTTTTTACTCCTCATATTTATTCATAACAATCCAATCTGGTTATACTACACATCCTCCAATTAACTTTCTCATTATTTTCTATAGGAGCTTCAATTGATGCTGATGCGAACACCCATCAAGATGTCAAAAACATTAATGTCATCAATGTACCATAACTTACGCATTTATTATATAATTCATCAGCTATTTGCAATGGGCCGTTTTTAAAATATAGACTTCAAAAAATATATTTATTTATAGGTACAATTATACAAAGGTCAATACAATATACACTTTGATCTTGATATCTAACTATTAATTATAGTTTTCATATTACCCCAATTATTATTCCAAAGCTATATATTATTTTACTTAATGTTGCGATATATTAAATTGTTTAACTTTTAGATAATGTTCTATTCTTCTTTTTTTTTTTTAAGTTTATGATGTATATAAATAAAAACTTATAATTATATATAGAACTATTTTTTTTATTGTTTTATTTAAATTTTAAGTATTATTGTAAATTGTGTGTAATGTAAGCTCCCCACTTTTAAATTGATTATTACAATCATCAGATTAGGATCTCTTCTATCAAACTTTACGGGGAAAAAAAATAAAACTAATATGGTAACCTTGATTAAATATTCATATTATACCTTTTAATGATAAGTGTTGACTTAAAATAAAATAATACGTTTATGTTTTTACTAATAATTTTACCTTTTTAAAATTATGTTGATTTTATTGCATTTAACTCTATAACGGTGCTGTAGACAATAAGTAAATTAATGCCATATTACAATAATTATAACTAGTATTTCGTACGTTTAAACTGTATAATATTTTCATCAATCATTTCTATCATAGAATTAACAATTTTAAAATATTTGTATTAAAAATAATTATTAAATTGTAATTTATATTTTGATTTGAAAAAAAAATAATGATTAGTTATATATATTAGTTACATATTAGTTATATGTATTTTATGTATATATATATATATATTTTGTAATGGTTTTATGTAAAAAATGATAGGTATGCATGATTGTAATTTTTTAAGGAAATTATTTGTAAGCTATATATATAACATATTTATGTATATAATTATTATTATCTTATTTGAAATTGTATTGTTATTAACATTACTCCAATTGTATAATTTCTTTTTCTAGTGAAGTAAAATTATAACCTATACTCAATATAATAATATTTATGTATAATAGTAATTTTTTTTGGAGGAAATTGTTTTCAAAATTCTTAACTATATAGGTATTCAAATTCATAATTGAGAAGTGCCGAGGGTACACTCGTAAAAACTGTGAGTGTATAATATATTAAACAATGTTTGATCACCACCTCCCTATAAAAATAAATGTTTTCAATAAATCTGATAGTACCTATAATACAGTTCCCTCTTCTTAATTAACTTCAGATCTGCTACTATTCTATGATATCTACTAAAAATAATATAAATTTCCTTGGCAATTAGCAATTACTAATAGGCACATTAATGCGGTGTGTATAATGGAACTGGATTAACATTAACCATTGTCATATAATACTTATTTACAATATTGTAGGCTATAATTAAGTGTTCCCATTTGCTACCAAGAAAAGTTTAACATTTTAATCAGAAGAGAAACAAATTTACTTATTTAATTATAATGTAAAACATTTTAATGTTGGTAAATTTAACCTCTAAAGCTCTTTCAGCTTTATTCTTCCAACCTTCCCATAAATATGTTTAATAAGAACTTCCAGGAAAAACAACATGGTTTACTAACTGAAAATTATACTTACCTTCTGCGAAAACCAAAATAAAGTTCTAACAATAGTTCAATTAAACATATTTTAAAATGTCTCAAGATCCAGTTGATTTTATTTTATGCCTACCTAGTCAAATTTTTGGACTAAACAGATTAATTTTCAGATTTTTTCTGTTAAGATTATAATTTGTTAAATGTTTGTCGTATTTTCTTGAATTTTTTTCAGAAAACAAAGGTATTTCTTTTGTAAATTTGTGTATCTTTGCACAAATATAAAAATTAGATTAATAATAATTAACAAAGGCAATAAATAACTATGAACGAAATTATACACCGATTACGATTGACTGTTATGCATTCTAAAGTAGGTACCTACCTTGAGATTATCTTTGTCGTTATAGTAGTGTCATACACTCCAGATTTTGCAAAATCATCAAATTAAATGGAAGTACAAACAAATCATTGAATAATTAAATAAACATATCCTATCAAATAATAACAAATTAAAAATAATAATTTGTAATCGAGTATTTTAATAAATACATGTTGTATAAAACTGTGAAATTAAACGTTCTGATGGTCGATCGCGACAACCTAGAAAATCTCAGAGGTCGATCACAAGTCTATTAAAGTTTGGCAACCCTGCTCTAGGTTGATGATTTATCAATATTGATTTCTCCTTATCTTTATCATCATTAATATAAAATATAAAGATATGACCGTGAATAAGAAAAATAAATTTTCTTTTGGCCCCCCTTATTATATAGTGTCCCATGATGATCTGATATTTGAAATAACATTTGTTCCATTCAATATTTTTTTAAACAATTTGTATGTCTATATTGTTTGTGAAATATAAATTTTGGAAAATGTTTAGTGGTTGAAACTTTTGTTTAGGTATAGTCTTATAATCAATTGTAATATTTAATCAGTAGTCAGTAATATTATTATATGATATTAACTAAATGGAAAAGAAAATCATTGCCATTTGATGTGCTCTAACTATCTATTATAATAGATTATAAACCAAAATAATATTAACATTAAAATTGCAAAAATTTCAAAACATTTTAGAAAATAAAAGACCCTAACTAAACAAAATTTTTAATCACTATAATAATATATATAATAAATATATTGAATAGAACAAATTATTCAAGTGTTATATCATCGTGGATCACTCTGTATGTACCATAGGTAAAACCATAATTTTATAGTATATAGTACCCATGGTTATGAATGGTTTTATTTTTTTGTGGAAAAGTTTCTAACTTTATTATGTGCCCTTTTATGGTTCTTAGCTCCTTTTTTGCATCTAGCTAAAATATTGTTAATTACAGGACAGATATGTATACATCCTAAAACCTTTAAATATATACCTATGCAGATATGAAATAAAAATTCCAAAACATGTTCAAAAAATGTACAAAATTCCAACATATGCCTCAAAAGATCCAAAAACAAAATGTTGTACATGTAATTTATCAGGTGTTAAACTGTATTTTAGTATAATTTTAATTAGATATTTTTTTGACTAACCAATAAAAATATACACAAACATACAAGTAATTGTTGTAGTAATTATAGTATAATGTATAATGTTTAAAAATAATTTCTATAATTTTGTAAAATCATTAAATAATATATGGTGTATTTCAATAAGGATTTTTACAAATTTAATAATTGCAAGATTTTTAAAATAATTTAAGTTCTTTTTTGCAATTTATTATATTAATTTTACATTTATTTAATCGAATTGATTATTCACTTTTTATTATTACAATTTTTTTACATAGATAATAATAATTAAATTTTAACAAATCAATTAAGGAGCCTATTTATAATTAAATTTGTTTTATTAATATAAACTTGGTAAAAATATTAAACGTATTTAATGTATGGGTAAAACAAATTATTTCATTCCAGAATACGATTTTCATTCATCTTTCGTTTTTTATAATTCAATATCATTGCAGCAATTTCCATTTGACCAGATCCGTCTGTTAAGTATGTATTTAACTGTTGTTGTGCCACTCGAGCATCATTAAATATTAACCTTTCGAGACAATCAAGTCTATCAAAACATGGTAGATTATCATTAATATTTTGGGCCCAATCCATAGTTTGTTTGAATCGATCTATAAATGTCTAAGTAAAGAAAATAAACAATATAATTAATAACCAATATAAACAAATTTTTGTTTTTAAATCAGTGTTTCCCAACCTTCTTGACACTACAAACAGTGGCATTAAAAACTTTCATTACAAGGGTAAAGCTATAATAAAATTATCCATTCGTTCGTTTTATAATGTAATTAACCTTAGAAAACATTACAAAAAATAAAAATAAAATGTGGAACACAATTTACATTGGTAACATATTATTGTAATTGGAAATTTAGAAACATGTAGATTATACACTATTATAGGGTAATAACAAATTGAGATAATATAATATAGATATCAAATATAACAAATTTACCTGGAATACTCCGAGAAAATTGCTGGACCACGCCTAAAAATATCACAGTGCTAACCATATGTTTTTTATTTTATCTAAGAATATTTATACATTAGAAAAATACAAAAATTCCCTAGAATTAAATATTAAATGATATTGCCCAGTACATGATTTTTCCCCATAATTTATTCTTATTTTTTTAGTAAAAAATCTTTGGCACAGTGGATCACAGGTTGGGAACACTTGTTTAAGATAATGATGTTTGTTATTACTTGAATTAGTATTTTTCGCACTTCATATGCTTCTCTATGTTCTAATTGAGATAAAAATTTTCCAAACAAATAAAAATGTTTACATAATTTAAATAAATCTACTACATTTGCATCAGCCATTAAGACTCCTCTGAAAGTAAAAATCTTAAAAATGAATACATTTAAAATGTAACAATTTTTATTTTTCGTGTTATAACTGACAGCAGTGAGAGATGTGTTTTCACAATACTTTTCCACTGCTGCCAAACATATAATGCTTAAAAGCATGTTATATTACCTGTAAATTTCATTATACGCTTTTGGCATATCAAACTGTATAGATTTTTCTATTAAAAATACTTTAACCATCCAAAAAGGAAGTTCTATTTTTGGATCTGATTCATCATCTTCTTTTTCAGGAATACTTGAATCCAAAAAACCTATACATAGATATTATATATATACAGTAATTTTTTTTTCATGAACCAAAAATTTGTTCAAAGGATTTTAAGTGTATTTGATGTCTGTTTTTTTTTAACCATTATAGAATCAGTTAAGATTTACTATAAAACCATTTTAAATTTTTTACTCCCACTCCATATAAGTATATACTCTTGTTTTTCAAATAGAACCCCTTTTATGAACACAGATATGAATAAAGAATCAATTTTTAGAAATTTTGATATATATAACATTAATATCAGATGTACCGTTTAAAGTTTAGACTGGAAAAATAGGAAAGGGTAATAAATAGCATACCTATTTTTATATATTGATAACTCTTCCCTACTCCTCCAGTCTAAACTATAAATGATTGTAACTCATAAACAATAAATAAGATATTAGGGTTATACATATCAAAAAATTCTAAAAAAATATACTCTATTTTGAATACATTTATTTCTCGAATCTGTATTCAAAAAGGGGTCCTATTTAAAAAACAAAAGTATAAAATTATTTAAGGTACATGGAATGGGGTTAAAAAATTAAAAATGGTTTTTAAATAAAGCTTGCATGGTCTTACAATGATAAAAAAAAAAAAAAAACAAAAATCAAATTCACACTGATATAACTGTCGGTGCATGATAAAAAAATGACTCTATATAAAACAAAATATATTTGATAAATTATAAAATCTACAATAATCGTTTTTTCTTTAAAATTGTTACGTATAAAAACTTGGTTATACTTTGATTTGAATATGCTAAACCAAATTTAACAAGTCTGATAAAAAATGATTGACACAAAATGTTCATTTTTTAATGTTATTTTCCAAAATAATAATTTTTAAATTGATACTGGTAATCAAAACAAACCAAATATTATGTATATACCAATACAATTGTAAAAAGAAAGGCTTACAGGTACATTTTACCCATATTGTAGGAATCTTAATAACATATTTAGAAAATTAATTTATATAATTATCATTATTAGAAACCAATAATTTATTTTTAATACAAATATAATATAATAACAATATAAAACATTTTTTTATCATTCCATAATAGGTAATTCAAACTTTTATAATTTATTATATGATATAAATTATAACTAAATCAATTCTGTAGAATAATAATAAACTTGTGAAAATTGCTGGAGTGCCTATGAACTTAACATATTACATTTAACAACTCCATTATGAATTTTAATTTTCAATCTTTACTATCATATTACAATAGTATTATGTAATAAAAACTCTAAAATCTTACCAATAGATTCAACTTTTTTAATAAAGCGACATGGAATTTTTTCTTGAGCTGCCATTATAGCATCAATTGAAAAGTAATGAGGTTTAATATTTTTGTACATTTTAGGTATATGGCAAAACTAAATATATATATATTATAAGTGTGTATAAACTATTATGTTTATAGCAAAATTGTCACTATAATTCATTGTATAATATGACGTCTATAAACCTATTGTTGATAAAATTTCGCGGGAAATAGTTCTGCACGATAATAGTGTTTGATAAATTGATAGGAGACTAAACTGTAAACTGTATAAAAAAAAACTGTTCTGTTACCATGGTTAGTACACAAATACAGATAATAAATTATTATCTATAACCGTGATAATAAATAACATAAATTATCTTTATCCGTGAGTTAACAATAATTATAATAATTAATTATATTCTTTAGACTATTGTACATCTCAGTAGGAGATCCAGGGGGAGCTATAGGAGCGATCGTCCCCCCCGTTCACTTTTCAATGTTTTCTTAGCTGTATGATACTCTTCGATTAATTCTTCATTGAACTCGTCATAAATGCGTGACATATTCATTATCAATATCGCTCCCTCACCGTTATCTTGACCTGGATCCGCCCTTGGTACACCTAGAGTCTACATTAAGCATGAAAACGTGTTCCAGCGGATGAAGTTTCATTGGCGTTTTAATTTGCTGTCCTTGGAATACAAATTTGCTTTCTCTCACATTAGATTTTATATCAGCCTATCCCTCTGGATCTGTTCGGACCGACACTGTGCCTTCCAGTCCTCGAGTGCATAGATAATAAAATTATGAATGGGCCATCCCATGATTAACTTAGTTAAATTAATTAGTTAATCATGGGTCATCCTATAATATTGTTCACGTATGACGGAAAGAGAACTTATGTAACCACCATGGTTATAAAATGTAGCACCGGTTACTGGATCATGGTGTCACGATTCACGTTCTTATCTCTCATCTTGAACGTTTTTTTGGCGGGTTAATTTTACTGATCTTCTGAAGACCCGACTCTTAATTGACATTTGCTTTTCAAATAATTATGGTATACTCAAAATGTATTTATTGCAAAGCATCTGAACATCTTCCAAGAAATAATAATAGTTTGAAATTTAATTTGTAAAAATGTATTGAAATAGTACCTACATACTTATACTAATAGATATCAATTTTAGATTCTGAGTGGAGCAAAGAAGCTTATGGTTTTATAAAGATGTTTATTTTTTTTTTTTTTGTGAACAACTTTTCTACTAGAGGACTTGCTCCGATATCTACGAGTAGCTTTTTTTTTAAAAGGAAATCGACGTGGGGAGGTACTTTAGAGAGGTCGTTTTTCGATTTTCTCCGGAGTTTTCTCAGCAAATATGAAAAACTGGGAAAACCAGGAAAATCAGTACAACATTAATCAAATGTTTTTAAAGAAAATATATAGAACCCATTTAATTATTTAACTACAATATGGGATATATAAATATATTGTTGACAAAGCATCACTATCAACTGAATTCCGCTCAAAATCGTTTTTTCGTAAGCAATGATTTATACATTAAATTATCTATACCGGTGCCCGTCGCCATTATCCTAGGACGTCTTTTTTTTAAACATTATTCAGATTCCCTAAAAACAACCGCAGAAATAAGAGGTTAATTCCTCTAGAGTTAATAAAACGTTAAGTGGGCTAAACTACGCTCAAAACATTTTGACGAAAAATATTATCAAGGAAATTATTACGAGATGCTATACCAATTCCGAACACGGAAACGTACCTAATATGTGTTATGTATAATACCAATTATTATTAAATTATTCTTATTTCTTATTAACTTTAGAACAAGTTTAGAAAAAGTCAATATATTTGTTTTGGAAACGCACAAAGACCAATTAACAAATTTAATTATATTCAAATATTTAGATAAGAATGTATCATAAATTAAAAAATAAAAATAACAAAATAACTAAGGACTAAATACACAAAACTTTTTTTTTTCTGCAATCAATAATGTTAATTTGTATTTATATTATTATTTTTTTATGTAAAACATTATAACAATAAACAATACAGCATGTAGCAACTTAATAAATAAGGAGGTAAAAATTGATGATAATAAAATATTATCATTTATTTTTATCAATTAGTCTGCAACTGCTGTCAAACCACTGTGGTTTTTTATTAGTATTAAACATAAAGTTTTACAATTGTTTTTTCACTGTGTAATTATACACATTGACTTGACACACGGTCTGGCACACGACTTTATTTATTGACTCGTATAACTCGTATTATTTTTATGGACATACACATATTATTAGCATTTTTTTTTTTTTTTATAAATTATTTATTTATTTACTACTCCAAATAAATAAATTGTTAAGCCGAAATATCCGTTTGCCGATAAACGATCAGCCAAAAGGTTTTTCGACAAATTGCCTTTCGCCAAGATGTCCTAGATCCCAAGTATAGTGGAATTATTTATTCATTAATCAATATTCTGGTTATAACTTGACTATAAAACAATGAATGAGCAACACTTGTAAATTTAACACATGTTAAAACTTTAATTTATTAATCATTAATTTATCATTGTACACATATTTAATATAATATTTATCAATGGATAACGATAAGTTTGGTGCGACAGGGCATTCGATTTGGAGCGTAACAAGAGATCTATTGGTTTTAAAAATATAATGTACGTTTTTTTTTTTGTATTTTTTCTATTTAAAAATAACTTTTTGAAAAGAAATCTTGCTCCAATAAAGATTTTTTTAGTTACATTTTTAATATTATTAGTGTGTAAGAAAATAATTCTTTGATTTGTCCTTTAGATTTTTTAATACTTAAGGAAAACCGGAAAAAGAACAGGGAAATGTACAAAAATAATGATTTAATAATTTTAAATGTTGTTTTTTTGTTGTAATTCAGTTAAAAATATTTAAAGAGACTTTAAATTTTGACAAAAAACTTATATTTATTTTTCTAAACATGGTAAAATTTTAAAAATATTTGAGTCATTTTTGAGAGCTACTTATAGATAATTTAATTTAGCGAGTTTCACGAAATTTGTATTTGATAGGTACTGTGTAGATAAAATTTGTAGAGTTAAGGGCTAGGCAGGTACATAATGGGACATAATGCGTGCGTTGCACTTGCCGTAGGATAAGTTCCTGAGGAGTTTAACGACTTCAATTTTTAGTCTCTTTTACATACCAAACTGTTGAGCAACCAAGACCAAGACTGATTGCTGGTTGCTGGTTCATGATAAAAAAATCACCATGTATTGCATTGGCGTGTGTGTTCTTTCCCCTCTCCCCCTACGAACCTTTAACTTTTTTCCCACATTCGGGAGTTCTTACAAATTATAACAGTTGTTATAACTGAAATGACAATATATTATTTAATAATAGGTGATTGGTTATTATTACCCCTTATTATTCTGGCAAATACAACATGGTAACAACAAATTTCTTATCAATAGTATAGGAACCTTTACGATCCCCACAAACATTATGTTTACAATGATAGCTGATAAAGTTCTTTAAGTTTTTGTTTTGTTGTTACTACTAAGTGGCAATTGCCCCAACTCAATTAAACTAAAGTACTCAAATAAAATATAATATTACGTATTTATTTTATTTAATTAGAAAAAAAAAAACAATAATGTCGTCAACATTACCGCCAAACAATATATTACAGAAAGTATTGGATATCCCCAGTGTACTTTCTCACTTGTTGGAAACTAATATTATAGGTAGGTTGCACTATTAATTATTCTACTAAAAATTATTAACTATACATTATTAATGTGCGTATTTAACATTGAAATAGATATTAGCAATTGCAAAATTTTGGGGCAGGAACAAAATGGAGAATTTATCCTTTGTTGGAACTTGAAAGGACAAGAAGGTTCTTGTACAATAGTAGCACTATTTTTTTACACTATAAAAAAAATACAGGTGAGTAAAATTTTAATTTAATGTTTTAACCAATTGCTCAAATTTACTACCTACCTACATCAATGAATTTATTTGTTATGTAATGTACTAAAATATCAATATTTCTTGATATAAAATAAGGAACAAGTTTACTTTATTGGACAGTTTTTTTTTTAAATTTATTTCTGTTTATTTCTGAGAAAACGTATTTTTCTACAGTGATTCTGATAATATTTGAATTTTTTTGTGGAAAACATTTAAGAAGTTATAACAAAAAAGACAATGTTTATTAAGCTGAAGATGATAGTGCAATCAGAATTTTTCAGAAACTATTATTTTTGAAATCATTGTGATTTGAATATTGTACATCAGCGGAACAATTGCAGATGTAACGTTGCACAGCCACTTCAAACTCAAGGGGGGGGGGGCAGTTGACTAACGAGTTTCACCCACATATCCAAATTACTACTATTACAATGATGATTGATGATAGTGTTCTAAACGTGAACTTAAACCTTGCTACAGACCAGGTTCATGTCTAACTTGTAAAATCATCAACTTTAAATGTCTATCAATTCTTTTAATAATGGTTTTGAAAAAAAAAAAATCAAAATATAGCTGGTAAAGTAGAATTATACTTAAAATAGTTTTTTTTTAACTTTACAGGTTTTAATGAAGTTCAGACGTTTAGTAAATATTGTTCAAGCATCTATTAACTACAAAAATTCCATTCTTGGTAATATTAGTAATATTATCATTTTTTATAATTTGATACCTACTCATAGATTCAAATCTAACAAATTTTAAAATTCTTCTAGGCTATGTTACTAAAGAAGCATTTGAAGACTGTATGGAATACTATCGTGTTTTTGTTGTTCATCTTAGTAAACCTAATTTAGATCCTGTCGATTTGAATATTAACAACCGCCATCAAACAATGATTCAGTTTTTATATAGAAAACGTAAACAGCCAGATAATGATCGCTTTTTAGTATTTATTCATGAAACTTGTAAGTTATTTTATAAAAACAAATTTTGTACTTAAGTTAATATTAAAACAAAATTTTTACCTAACATTTGCAAAACAACTTCTATTTAGCTATAACACTTTATCAAGTGGAGGAAACCACTGCTGATAATGTAAAGGTGAATCATTTTTATAACCGCATGCTCAAAAGTGTTTTTTTATTTTATTCTTTAGTTATTAATCATTATTATAATACATTACTTTACTAAACCTATACAATTTATTTTTAGACCTGTTTGGATATAAAAAAGCAAGAGAATGTTGTTAATCAGTTTTCATGGGCTCAATGGGAACCACAGTACCAATGTTTATTTTATATTCATTATTCAAATATCGCTAACAGTAACACAGATGAAGCTAGTCTTTCTGCTTTACAATTTCACGATGAACCTCAGCATGAAACAGTGGTATTTATTTTTTATTTGTTAAATTTCGCAACATGTTTTGCTTTTAATATGTTTAGCAACATTGAACAAAAATTGTTAAATAATGTTTCAGTTGAATGTTCCATTAAATTTACCAAATAGAAAAAGAACAGCAGAAAACCTTTTGAATGGTTATTTCGATATTCCTGTACCATTATGTGTTCATGACAGTATGCTAGATGTCCGCGTATTATCGGATGCACGTGGTTTTGTTGCTGTTTGTCATTATTATTTATATCAAGTATGTATTATATCAAAATAGTCATAAGTTCAAATAGAGTTAATCACCAACTCTTTAATTTTGTTATATCTTATATTTCTTGTTTTGAAATTATTTTTTTATTTGATAATGTTACTTCATATTATAAGCATCACTAGATAAAATTTTCAAAATTGATGAATAGTTCATGAATTACTATATAGTATACATGTATGCATAAAAAATGTATACATAAAAATAAAAATAATAAATCAAAAAATGAATGTGTAGCCTGGAGTATTATGATAAGTGTATTATACGACTGGTTTCGAATTAAAAATTCATCATTAGGTATATCGCTGTCAAAATGTAATCTGCGACTGAATATAAAAAATTAATTCAAGGAATACATAGAAAAAGAATTATACAAGTTGGTCGTTTTACATAGAAATAATTTTTTATAATAATAAATTATAATTTATATTTATATTTACATTTTTATTTAGAATTGGTATAATATTTTTTAAATTCAAAGCTAGTCGTATAATACACTTATAATATTCCAGGAAACACATTCATTTTTTTATTTTTTTTTTTATTTTTATGTATACATTTATTTACAAGTATTAAGCATTTTAATAATTTTGTTTTACTTTATTATTTTATTAAGTATATATATATTTTTTATAAATATGTACAAAAGGAAAAACCATTCAATTTTTTATTATCAGAAAAGAATAAAGAATATTTGTAATAATGCATCTATTCTCTTTAATTGAAAAACAAATTTCTAAATAAATACATGGTTTGACTTATTGTGAATTACTTTAGACAACATAATAAACATATTGTTAATTTTAGGGTGTTAGTGCTCCATTGGCCACTGATCATTTGAGAACTGTATATTTGGCTTTTTCTGTTACTCTTCTTCACCATGGCAGTGTAGTTCATTGTAATATAGCCAATGTACCCATAACTCGTGCCTATGAATCTCGTCCAATATTCACTATGCAAGGAGGTAGCTTTAAGTTAATTTTAATAGAGTTGATCATATGTATTTTTTTTTTTTTTTTTGTGAATAATTAGTTGCACAATTATTTTCAATGTTGCATGAGCAAATTTTAATTTTGAAATTGAAATATTTTGCATGGTGTGTTGAGTAATTTACAGAATCATATTCATGATAATCATAAGGGGAATAACAAAGTTAAACTATTTTTTAATTAGTACAATATTTATTTAATTTATTCTTTAAAAGCTAATCAGTTCCTCTAAACAAGTTCATTTGGGCCTATAGCAAGAATAAAAATAAATAGAATTTACAAAAGAATTAGGTATATCTAAAAGATTTGTTTCACAATTTATTGTCAGAAAATATTTAAATATGTATTAAGATAAACAAAAGTTATTAATTATTTATGTCATATAAATTATGTAAAAAAAAAAATTAGCATCAAGTATCTATAAATTGTCAAGGGTGTCAGTATGTCACAGTTTACTGCTAATACAAGTGTAAATAGTATATGATTTTTTGACAATGATAATCATGGATAGATATGCAATGGATAAATACAAATAATTGTTATTATTATTATTTTAAGTGGATAAGTGAGCTCAAACATAAGATAATACGTGTATGATTAAGAATATAGATGAAAGTTGATTACATATAAGGTATCCATGAAGACAGTTAAGCGTGATTTAATTTAACTCCTCCTTAACTAGTATATTTATTTAACACTTAATTACATTCACATGTGTACTCTGTACACCAGTATTTCTATTTATTTTAGGATACAACATTGGTTTCTGTGTAAACCAAATTGATGTATAAAATACACCGCACATGTAATTATTGAAAAAAATAATTGCGCGTGTAGTTTGGACTAAAAAAAAAAAAAAGTAATGACGATTTGATCACACTGTCTATTAAGTCTTTGATCTCCATTTTTGTTTGTGTACCCATACTTTCATTAGAGTACAGCATTTCTACCATATAATTAAAATTTCTCATCAGTACAGTTTGGTCCAATTTTTCGAATTTTTGCAAACCTGAATTCAGTTCCACTCTGATTATGCTCACATTTGAGCTAATTTTGTATGCCAATGCAAGCATAACAAAGAGTTAAGCTCTCACATCACGGATAGCGTGAAAGTGTGCATTGTGAATTGGCAACAATCTCATCAAAATGACAATGGGTTGGACTAGTGTTTCTCATAATATTGTTGGCATGCATAGTCCTTGATATTTTTGACTGGAATATAGCACAAGGAGTGAAGTGTTTGCGGAAAGATCTTGTGTCTAGTATATACACTCACTCCAGAAATATCTGATCCAAGAGTTTATTAAGACTACCTGTAGTGGATATGCTAACTTATGATGTTAATGATGAATATATTAGTCAAGCATGTTGATATTTTGATCCCTGTATAAAAGAAGATGTTATAAAATTTCTAAAATTATTTAATATGCAAGTAACATAATATATTTTAAGTGCTATAGCCAGTTATAACTAGTCACAGACAATATTTTTAATGATTTACCTGTAAAATGTAATTATATAGTTAATTTTTTTAATATCTAGTAAGAGCATTGACTATCAATACCTTTATAAAGATACATAATTTTTATAAAATTTAAATCCAAGTATGGTACTAAAGCAGTAATGGGGGCACATAACCACTGTTTTAGCTTGACTATTAAAAAACACAAGTTGCAAAAACTTTTTTTTTTTTTAATAAAAATATTTTCAATTATGCCATTAGGAGGCATTTGACGAAGAAATATAATGGTCAGTTCTAAGTTGATTATAAGTTATAATCATCAGTTTTTCTTTTAAATTTTGTATTCATTAAAAATATAAATATATTTTAATTCATATTAAAAGTTATATCCACTGGTCTCACTATAGTAGTCATTCTTATGTCAAAGATTACGGAGTCACACAAGGTACTTCACTACTTCATTCTTAATTGTTAATATATAATGCTAATTAAAGTCTAGGGTAATTGGAAAAAATTAAAACAAAAAATTTGAAAATCAATGATTGAATGGAAAAAATCACTTTACACAAGTAAATCAGTACGCACACCAATAGTCACAAGCCAATACAGCTTTCAGATGAACATACCTATAATACATAAATGTAACATTAATATGATCAGTTACAACTATAAACTAATTAAAATGGTATTATCATTTAAATATTTAGGAATAACAATAGATTTTGCACTGAAATGGTTAGATCATATACAGATTATTAAAAATTAAATGAGAAGTTTTAATAAAACTAAATAACTAATCTCATGGAGCACAAAAAAGGGATGAGTAATCATAATCAAATTATTTGTGTATTTATGTATTAAACAAAATACCTGGGGGAGTAGTGAGACATCAAAAATTGAAAGTTCAACAAATAAGGTCCACTCTAAAAGCAGATTGTACATTTTTGGATCTATACATAAAAATGTTGATTTTGTTAACTTTCTATGCATATTAGGAATTAATATTCATAATTACTTAGTATTGTATCAGTATTCTATAATATTATTAATGATTTTAATAGTATAATTAACTGGTACTTTGTAAAATAATTTAATATACTGTTGTATTTAGTTTTGGTTCTTATAATTAGTGTGCAACTATACCGTATTGAGTAGTATTATGAAATATCCAATGTAATTTTATTGCTACTTTTGATATTATTTGTCATCTACATCAATTATTAAGTAGAGATGTGTAAAAGGCTTACTATTCTTTCAATACCTGTGCTAATATAAAATTATTTTATCTTCCTTCTGAAAAAATGTCTTAAATTTACTTCTGGTAAAAATTTGTATTTTGTTTCGCTTATTATTTTAAGTCATTTATTGAAATCTGTTTGAAAGTTTTTGATTTTATTAAATATTTATCTATTATTGCTGTTTTTAATACTTTTTTCTTTTAGTATTATTTATTTATGATAGTAACCATTGTATAAGATACTAAATATTAGTTAACATATCCTGTTGTATATAATTATTTTTATACTAACTCGAAGGAATTTAAAATTAGCTATGATTATTTTGAAGGAATAAAATATATGTAATATATTTTTATTTAAATGTAATATTAAAAATACAAAGGTTGGATTAACTATTACTAGTTGACAATTTGACTTGAGAAACTAAATTTTTGTTTTTTAAGGTTACTTAGGTCTACTAAGGTTCATAAGTTTTTTATAATATAAATATAAATCCTAAGCAACTTTAAAGAATTTTTATTTTTTTTCGTGAAAATATTTTTAAAAAAAATTTGATTAAAATTTAAAATTCAACAGTGAAAGCTAAATTAATTTTTAATTTATACCTGTCTGACACATTTAGCCATTGAAAGAATTAATATTATATATTAGCATGCTTACTGAATGAATATATATGTCTACTATTTTTTTAATCATTTAGTTAATTTGAAACAAATTTTTTTTTATTGTAGATCAGCATTTGTTGGTTCATTTTCCAAATATGTGTACCTTACTTTTGGACGTAGGCCCTGACCATGAACCCAATTGCCACATTGTTATACCCTGTGTGGATGAAAACAGAAGTTGGAAAAGCACCATTGCTACAACAATTGGGTCTGCGGGTACAGTGGTTGATTTGTCCACGATGGCTGTGTACGAAATAAAAGTTACTAAACGTCATTTAATAGATGCATTTAAAAGACCAGACGCCTTGCATGTGAATCAACAAGCCATATTGCACTATTTCATTGTACACAGGAGAGATATGGATGTCGTTAATCAAGTAATTTTATTTAATATTATTATTATTATTATTATTAATTAATAACATGAGAAGCATAATGGTTTTTTTAAATTTTGTATAGCTTTTAAATTCAGTTGTGGACAATGGTTTGAATATAAACTGTTCAAAGTTGCTACAAGAAATATTAGTTGGAAGCGCTTTTGCTCAAGTTAAGCGCAATTTATTGTCTGATGCTGTTAGCCTTGCAAGATATTTACCTATTACAATATCTAAACATAATATACCAATAGAAGTTAAGGTAGTTAATTTTTTATAAACATAAATGTTAAATTTAATAACAATTATTGTTATAATTATCTTTCATAGTATTTAGTGTTAATAATTATTTTTATGTTTTAAAATTGTGATAAACTTTTTATATAGGTGAATGGTTATACACTTACACTGTCTCAAGAAACACTAGAAAATCCTAGGGTCATGTTATTGTCTCCACGACAAAGACTAATACCATTTCGTGATGACCTGTGGACAAGATTATGGGAACTTTTACCTGGTGGATCTTTTGCAGAAGATAATGCTTCTTCAAGACCTGAAATGCCTCGTTTTCTGAATATAAATGTTGCTGTTAAACTCAATGTTTCATTAGTGTGTTACCAGGTAAAGGATATTTTTATTAGTTGTGAAATTTACCTATCTTGTAAATTATGTGCAGCCTGAAGTTCTTTCTCGGTGCAGTACTCCTTTGTCGCCTGGAGGATCAATGTTAGCCAACAGTATTGCTAACATTGCCATATCTGATCTGTCACACTCGTTACAAACTTCTTCAGTGCAATTGCCTTTTGTGGACCTTGATGCTTCAGCAGCAAGTAAACAAGAGCATGTCATCTCAGTTGTAAGTTAAATTATTTAATAATAATGTTAACCCTTAATATTTTATGATTAAAAATATTTAAATTTTAATTGATGTCTTTCTACAGAACCTGAGAGAACTTAGCATGCATTTGTTAAAACAAAGTTCGTTGTATTCCAACAAATTGCGTAGCCGATACATGTCTGAACCCAATGCGATGCATGTGCATGCTGTGGCCACTAAGTATGCATCGTCACAGTTGGAAATATCTAGATCACTATGTGCTCATCTAACTCTAGCTGCTGGTGTAGATGTTAGACTTCACAAACATATTGGTTTCCAGTTGATGTATGTTAATATTATTATAGTTGTACATTGTTAGTGTAACTATTTGATAATGTGATTGATTTTATAATGGGTTCAATTTATTATAAGTATCCTGTAAAACCAATGGCACTATTATGTACTTACAATTTTTGTAAACTACAATTTATTATACTTTTTTTAAATTTCAGTGATAATATTGAAGACGACCAACGTCGATCTCTGTTAATGGTGTTGCAGAGATTTGCTCATGCTACAGACACATTAGCTTTCCCGTTACCTCAAGGTTTTCCATCATTCATCACATTCCTCGGTTATAGAGTCATGTCACCCACCATGTTTAATCAGTTTATTCGGTGCAACACATTTTCGCTCAATGTAGATGTCATGAAGAAAATTCTTGTCGGTATGCAAATTTGTTTCTTTTTGTTAATTATCATAGGAAAACGTTAAATTCTAGAATGTTAATTTTTCAATCTGTTATTATCAAAAGCACATTTCTCATTTGTAGTTTAAAAGTCGAAAATTATTGAGTGGAACCATTAACCTATTGAATAATTATCAGAAGTAGTTGCCTACTAAGTAAACTATTCAGTATTTATTGTTTTTTTTATTTATAAAAAAAAATATATTAAAGAAAATTCAATGGGTTATGTTACAAATTGACATATATGTATTGTATGGAAAAGGTTAAATTATAATATTACTTTCTTGATTTTTTTTATATAATATTACCCAGACTTAATAGTAACACAATTAATCAGTAATAAAAAAAAAAAAAAAAATGGAATAATCAGAGGAGTTCAAATAAATAAAAACTAAATTTCTGATTGGTGACAATAATTATTATTTGGTAAAGTCCTAAAAATCATTATTAAATAGTAAATATTTTTAATAGACATAGTAGACAATAAAGAAGGAGTGTTGAAAAAAATAGATCTGATACAAAGTTTACCGCATTCAAGAGCTAAACGGTTGATGAATCAATGGTCTCACCCTGTGTCTGTAATGTTGAGAGCCAGAGAACATGCCGCTGAGATATTAGGTGGTATGTCTATTAGAACTTCCAATTACCGCCGAAATGTTAAATATCGAACAAATTCTGGTTAGTGTTATACTCTGGTCAACCTTGTTTTATTTAGTAATTTTAAATATTATATTTTACAGGTGTAACATCAGCTTTTCCGTCTAAACTTCGTATGTCGCCACTTGAAACATTTCTAGAGCTCTTAACTGCTAAAGGCAAGTATACTTCCTATTTACTTACTAATTTTTCAAATGTTAAAATACCTGAACAATAGGTATCATAAAGATTAACTTGTTTAAAAATATAATTTCATACAAAAATGTTTAAATATTGCATTTAAGATAAAATAAAATAAATATTTTACAAATGTCCATTTAAACTTAAAGTATGAATATATTTCAAATAATTGATTGTACTTTTTTTTTTTGTTTCAGCTATGTTAGCTGATATTGATTACAATCTTCTTGTTGATGCTACTGTGGCATCCACCAAAGAAAATATGTTCAATTAAAAACTGAATTATTAAATTTATATTCTGTGGTATTTAAAATTATTAAGACAAACATTTTTACAATTGTTGTGTATATATTATAATAATATAAAACCAGTCAAATTTAATTATGTAAATAATTAATAACAAATCCATAAAAAAAACTAATACTAATAAAGTAGTATTTGTATTTATAAAGTATAAGATTTATAAGAAGAAGTCCAACCAGTCGTAGTAGTCCATTGTGGTAACTTATTTAAAAATGTCTTCAATTGAGGTGTATATTGATGTGGACCATGCATTCGATGTCCAGATAATCCCACTTCAATTTGGGGACCTATATGATTTTCAGGAACCTAAATAAAAATTTAGTATATTGTTATCTTTATAAATAAATAATACGTATATATATCATTTATTAATTTGGTTATAAAAAGTGTAAACATAATCAAATTCATTAAAATGTAAAAAATTGTTTTAATTGTCTTCTGGAAACCAAACTTAAAATGGATAGGTAGCTAGTCTTTATTAGATATGCATATATTATAATAAAATTAAGACTGTCAAATTATGTTTTTATTTTGTAAAATTTAAAATGTTTTAAGTTCACTTTTAATAATATAATTTTATAACATACAGTTATATATATCATGAGCTTTAAAATAAACTAATAAACAATCAATAAACATATTATTTTTCTATTCTTATTAATGATTTAATTCTTATTCCAGGGGCATTTTAAAAGTTATCAAAGTAAACTGGTTAATCATTAATTAAATAATATTGATATTTCAAAATTAGACAATCATTCTTGTATTTAACTGATATCTGACACAATATGTGTAGATTTATCATGTACATTTTTGTTTTTTCAATTATCTAAAAACCTAATAATTTAATTATGTTTTGATATTGACATTTTAGGATAGTCTTTGTGAAAAATGTACTTGAAATAAATAAAAAAAATTTTAAATGATGTATTGATTATTCAAAAACAATATTTAATATGTTAATCAAAAAAATAATTGATCTTTCTCTAGCAGTAATTTAATATTTAAACATAAAATTACTACAAATTGCTTTTAATAATATATAAAAATAATATGTATTTTTACTATCTAATAGTTCATAAATTTGATAATCATGTGTTTAATTATCATTGATTACCTCAAGTTCAATCCAAAATTCCCATGGAACAATATCATTTGCACATGCATAATATACAAAATAAGTTGGACGACCATTCCATTGTGGTCCTTCAAGAGGTTTGCCAATACTCAAACTCCAATCTTTTAATTTGATACCGTCGTACAATGACAACACAAAAGTTATATGATCAGGACCTGAATGACAGAAATTACTAAAATAATAATAATAATAATAATAGATTGGTAAATTAAGAAGAAAAAAAAAATACCTATTGCAAAAAATGAAAGCCTTTGGACATTATTTAATCTGTAATCTCTGTACGTTAAATTTAGACTTAAAGGTAATTCTTCTTCTAATGGCTTCGAATCGATCCAATGGGTTTTCCTATACCATATAAGTAGAAAATAATTAATTCATACATATTTAGTCATAAATCCTACAAACCATATAAACGATGTAACTGGCATAAAATAAGGTAATCCACAGTACAGTTCTTTACTACACTCATTGTGACTTATTTGACGCGCATTCATTAGTTCAGGTGCATGCCTTACTATTGAGTGTGGGCTATTCACATCCAAATCAATAATCCATAAACCATTCTGGGAGTCTCTCAGTGAACCATTATAGCCATACAGATTTCGTTCAACATGCTAACTTGTAAACAGTATATTTATTTAATTTGATTGATCCAGTCTAGTAAATGAAAGTAAAAATAACACTAACCGCCACCATAAATCGTTGTGGTGCCAAGTTGTTTGGATCACCAGAGTATGGAAATCCGAGTGGTGTGAATACTAAAACTAGAAACGAAACTAATAATACAATTCCTAATGTATAAAAAACAGTGTACACTTTTTGAATTAATAATACCAAAGGATTCTGAAAAAAATAAAAAAAATAATTTAATATCCAACATTATTACTTTGCACAATGTGATATAAAATAATAAAATACATACATAAAAGCTATATACAAGAATAAACATAGCCGATGTAATAAGTGACATAACAGTTTCAGCATGATTTCCAGATCCTGATCGGCCCATGATTGGGACCACTAGTAGAAGTGCTGCTTGTATCATATAAGCAGACAATGCAAATGGCACTAGCATACAACTCCAATGAAGCCACAATATTTTATGGTCTATTTTTTTATTATATATATATAAAATTATAAATTTCAGTCACAGGAAAATCATGATAATCAAAATACCAATATACCGTAATTGTTTTTCAATAAAGTGTTATGTAAACTATTACTGATTGCATTGCAGGTAACAAATAGAGCAACTGCAAATCCTGATCTTATACGTAACAGTACACATATTAAAAGGATTGTAATGTACAGCAATTGATTGCCGTCGCGAGCGATGCAATACATTAAATAATTTGGATAATGCACTCCACCGTTTCTGCCCTGTTAATTGTATCACATAAACAATACAAATTTATTAAAATGCTTCTAATAAGAGGCACTTTTTACTTTATATTATAATCTTACCCATAAAAATGTACGACCAAATAAAGTCAACAATATCATTGGTACCAATATAGTTGGTATAATGTATAAGAATAACAGCCATACCGGTTGAGCAAACCAACTCAGGCACCGGTCTAACAGTACAACAATCAATGATAGTAAAGTTATTGTCAATAGAGTGACCAGCCATATTATTACATTTAGACTTGAGCATTTTAAGCAAGATTTAAAATAATCTTTAATGGTAAAACCTAAAGCAAAAAAAAAGTTATATTTTAAAATATTGGGAATAAATGCATGCAGTTTAGCTTCCAATTGAATTTTTAAAAATTTTTTTTACAAAATTTATGTTAGTACATGCTTAATTTGTTGGTACTTTCAAAAAAAGTTGCTCAAACTTCATTTGGAAGTTATGGTCAAAAAACTTCAAAATAGTAGATTTTTCTAAAAATTGTGTTTTGAGTTTAAAATACCAAAAATTTGTATTTTGGAAATTGTTTTGGTAGTAATTATATACTTAACATTTTGGTGAAATCAAAATTCACCTATCGTACTTACTTTTTATGATATTTTTAATGAACCACGTAAAACCTAATTATGTTATTTCAATCATTTGCATATAAAAGTAAAATAGATTTTTTGGACTTTTTTTTTTTCATTCAGTTTGTAATTACAATTAATTAAAATAGGAAGTTTTTGGTGAACCAGAACTAACTAATATTTTTGGTTTGAAAGAAATAGTGGAAAAATGTATTTTTTCTTATGGATACAAAATAAACATCACATTTTACTTTTGGAAAAATATTGTTTATTTAATACTATTTTAATTTGTTTGCTTACTGAGGCCAAAATAATAATAAAAAAAAAATTCAATGGATGAAAAGCTGAGGGGCATGGTGAAATTAATTCAATGATTAATGTCAAATTATTGTTATAAATAACAAAATATTTAATAAAGTTTTAAAATTTTACCCTTTTTCTATGTGAATTCTTGAAATAATCTCGACACCCTCATACATATCCGTTAATGCAATTAACTTTCAAACACAACTTAAGACTTAGAGAATATGTTCATGAATACATTTTAATGTGTTATGTTTGGCAATTAGTGTCCAAGACTGCAATTTTTTAATTGTTGCTAAAGAAATAGCCCCTTGGCTTTTTCGCTCAAATAGCTCATAAATATCGAAAAAATATTAATTATGATTTACTTTAATATGTCAATGATTGGAATAACATTATAATTAGGTTTTACGTGGTTTATTAAAAATATCATAAAAAGTAAGTACAATAGGTGAATTCTGATTTTACTAAAATGTTAAGCATATAATTCCTACCGTTAAAAAAAAAAAAAAATTCAAAAAATACAAACTTTTGGTATTTTAAACTCAAAAACACGGTTTTTAGAAAAATCTAACATTATGAAGTTTTTTAACCATAACTACCTAATGAAGTTTAAACAACTTTTTTTGAAAGTACCATCAAATTGAGCATGCACAAACACAAATTTTGGAAAAAAAATTTAAAAAAATTGCTTAGGAGCTAAACTTCATTTTTGTCAAATATTACTATAAACATACCTGTAATATGAGTATAATTTGCATTATACAAGATTATTAATAATGATACTATAATGACACTAATGTTGATGATGTAAGATAATTCTTCACTCCAATGAACTATAAATATACCTAAGAAGTCAAAAAACACCTAAAAAATAGAAATAAAATTTATACAAATTAAATGAAATAGAAAATAAAAGTATACCAGATTTCCAGTGCTATATTTTTCGATATCTGAAATTTGTTTTGAGTTAACTAGATTCAAAATCAATGGCAACATATTATCACCAGTCCTTTGAAATGTACCAAGAGGAATTTTATCTAATGTGTCTAATTCAGTATGATAAACATAACCGTTTGCTGACCATGCAAAATCTAGCCCTATAAAAAAAAATAACAATATAAACTTTGTAATAAAATTGTATTATGCAAATATCACACCAGAAACACGACCAAAATCACGAAATATTCTATAATCAGTATCGCCTGGTATGATGCCACTTTGAAAAATTTCCTGGGCCATAGATGAGGCCAATGGATAAGGAACAGTATCTGAATAGGCCTGAAAATTGTTTAAACAAGCAGTTTTAAATTAAAATTTAATTTTAAAATTTAAAGTTATACTTCTAACAGCCATGGATGATTTGGGCCAACTTGGAAGAGTATTTCTTTCCCTCCTGCTCCACAAGCTTCCATATTAATGAACGCACGCACATTAGATGCCCATTTGTGTTTGGTAATAAACCCATGCGACGCTTGCATCATATTCTCTTCAGCTCCGTTAAAAAGAAAAATTATATTATTTTTTAAAGGGCTTTTCATACGTGAAATGACACGTAATAATTCTAACATTATGGCACAACTGGCTCCATCATCACTTGCACCTAAAATACATAATATTCATAAGAATTAAGAATACTTCAGCAAATACACGTCATAAAAGTTTTTAATATTACCAGGGCTACCCATGACAGAGTCAAAATGGCAATTGATCAGCAAACTATGAGGGGAACTCTTGATGGGTCCAATTTTAACAACAATGTTTTGTACATTCCTGTACACATTTGTCATACCATCAAGAAATTGCAATGGAAAGGATCCGCTGACCCTCTGTAGATCCCATTCGACTTTTTGTACAGAATCGGTTTGCTTAATAATTGTTTTGATTTCGTTTAATATAAACTTAACAGCCAAAATTTCATTTTCTTTACTTCCCACAGGCCTAGGCCCCATTGAAGTTAAATTAAATAAATTATTTTTGGCTCTTTCAGCGATAAACCGACCTGGATATTTGTGTTCATTAGATATGGTCACGGGTTCAGGTAAATTTTTTTCTATTAACGCTAAAACTGTGTAAATAGCAACTGAAAATGCAATACATGATAGAAAGTGATACGGCCCTGTAGGTAACAACCGTGTGGCTTTGGATCTGTTGAATACTGTATCTTTCAAGTGTTTGGGTAAGACATCATATTGTTTTGACAATTTGGTTCGTAAACGTAATTTTGAAAATGAATCATTCTAAAATAATAAAAATGGTATTTATTTAAATTGTATTATTATTATAATGTAATATAGTGTCCATTACTTTAGTACGAATCATGATCACACAAAATAGTCAATTTACTTAAAAACTGTTTGATTCCATTAACTTAACAAATCCCAACAGATTGAAAATGTTACTTGTGTTGTTTTCTATTGATTTAAATTATTTTGAATACTGTGTATAGATACTTCCAAGCAATCATCCTAATACAAATTGACATACCGTAAATAATTATAAATTATAAATCAGTTATAATTAATCACAACTGAATATCATAAGGTTTAAAATCTTACCAGTTGTTTAAAATTATTTAAATTATTAAAAATCTTGTGATTATAATATTTTAGCTACAATAAAATAGAATACACATAACATAGCAAATACAAATTTTAGATTATTTTAAAAACTCTACTTTTGGACTGCAAAATATATTTATTATTTACTCTATCTAATATACAAATATTGAAATATTAACAAAGGAATTGTAACAGAGAATAGCATAACATTAATAAATTAAATGTTTCAGAATAAAAGGATTAGGTACCCTATTATTGTAAAAAATAGTATAAACTATATAATTATATTATATTATTAAACCTATTAAACTTACCCGAAGAATTAATTATAAACCTTGATGGTCAACAGGTTAGTACAATTGAAATGTCATGAATTATGCAATAATGAATACAAGTCGACTCTCGACTGCTGAATTTTTTTTTTATACTGATAAATTATAGTAAAAAAAATAGAAATAGAGTTATTTTCTTTAGCTAGGAAATAATAATTCAAAGACTTGCAACTCTGTGACGTTATCACTCAATCAATGTAACTATTATCAATTTAAAATAAACAAGTAACGTCTTATCAGTTATTTGTATTTTATGTAAATTTTTTTTCAGTAGCAGGAACAATTGCTACCGCTAATAAATAACTTAAGTAACAGTGGAAACAGTAGTGTCTGCTACACGTTCATTGTCATTATGACTATTAATGGGAATAATCGAATGATTAGTAAGTGGTCGAAATAAAAATAATCGAATGACCGAATAGTTCATTCGAATGAATTACGATTTGTATTTCTAGAATTAGTTGTACAAATAATCTAACAATAATAATGACAATAATAGTCTATTATTGTGAAATTTCTTTTCAATACAACATTTCGAAAAACTATTTAAATCTCGTTCCCGTGTATTGACATTTGGCTAATATGATAATAAATGGACATTCTTATTCCTAATTTAGTAGCCATTGACTTGAATTAATATTTATCGACATTAAAACAAAATTGACACTTTAAAGTAAACATTACATAATTACAGACCCAAAAAAGAAATATAAGTAGGTATCCATAATACTCGTATGGTCTATTGTTATTTTATATTTATAATATGTGTAGATAAATAAAAGATTATTATTAATATCCCAATGTTAGGTACCTACCATGGAGTAAAGTTAATAATGTATATTATTATTCATTTTTTTTTTTTTTATTATCAGTTATTATTCGTTTTACATTCAATCATATGAGATACTCAAGTTACGGACTAATTAAGTAGGTACCTACCCTACCCCTAATATAATAAATAACCTAACCTACCGATTTTAACTGTATACGTTTCATTTTTGTAATGGCGCCTTATACAAGATCAATGATGTAGGAGTATTTTATACAAATTTCCAATAAATGCGTTGTTTGTCAGTTACGTATTTTATTTCATGTTTTATTTATGTTATTTATAGGTAGTGAAATTCAAACCATTATTTTTAATTGTCGAATAGTAATCATTATGTGGTCTTATACATTTTGTTGATATATTTTTATTAATCGCAGTTTATTCTAGTATATAGTGATTTGATTAATTTGATTTGATAACTATGTCTGTAACTGTTATTAATATTTTGATTAACAAAATCATTCGATTATAAAATAATCAAATCAAATCATTCAATTATTTCATTCGACTATTCCGATCAATAATATCATGCAATGAAAATAACAGTGACGGTGATAATGTGTATAGTTGTTTCATTGATTCAATTTAAACATCTACTACATTTCTACTAAATATATTTAATCAATGGTTGTTTGGTCACAGTAGCTGTAAAAGTAACAGTTATTAAAAATAGCAGTTGCTGCTATTTTCATATTAGAGTGGCAGTCTGTGATTGCTACTTTTAAATCACCTGGGAAAATTGCTAGTTGTGTATGGTCTTAATATTAATTATTATAACAGGTTAATCACCGTAGCCAATGGCATAATTTCAGTTTTTAAGAGGGGGGGCAAAAGTTCCGACCGGCCCATAATAAATATGAAAAAAAAAAAAAAACCGCTCGCTAATTTATCCTTCAGGTTTTTATTGTCAGCTATGCCCCCTCATAGGCTATAATGATAACACTATTTAACATTTTATTATTTATTATCTATCGCTGTGGCTAGACCATATTATTGTCATAGCTAGCAGGTAGTCTAGATAGATGTTATCTTGAATCTTAAATTCCACTTAAACGACGCCACTGATCGTAGCAGTAAAAGTAGCGATCACTGCTATTATCACATTGGAGTAACAGTCTGTGATTTAGTTTGAAATCACCTTCAAAAAACCACTGCTAAGTAGGTACATTGCTATTGCATGTCATCGCTATAGCCATTACAGATTACCATCAACCGAAATCAGTGTAAAATCAACACTTTTTTGTCACCCTTATTTGTGAGGGTGAAACGACTACCTAATTTTGATTTTTAAATAGCAAACTATATTGAAAACGTCTTAAATAGATGGGATATTAGTTGACATAAATTCTGGTGTTGACATTTTTAATTTCCGTCAACCCGTCGACGAGATATTCTACTAAGTTTTGGTCGGGTAGAGTAGTGGTGCATTATTTAAAACGCCACGCGCCGTGCCGCCACGCAAATGACACTCCACTATTCTCCACCGGCCAAAACGGAAATCAAACACTTCAACGCCAAAATTATGCTAAAATCAATTATTATAATACATTTCACGGTAAAAATTCGTTGACTACCTCGCGCCTAAATTCTATAATTCGAGTATTCTACGCCTTTGGCAATTAAAAAAAATGGGTATCATTTAAATGCCGAAAAGCATCACTTCCGATTGGATATTCTTATCTTCAAAAGTATCCATCTCAAATGGTTAATTTGTATTTACTTAATATGCACCTAATATTGTTATCAATTTATCGTGCTTACATCACACTTTAACGCAAATTTAAATTAGTACCCGATTCATTTTTGTAATTTTATGTAGGCAACTCTCTAACATTACCAGCACGAGCTTCATTTAAAGGCGATAAAGGTGATAGGTAGATATTTGTTGTAATATCTTATTTATCTATTTCACGAAATAAAAAAAAAAGAAGAAAATTAAACATTAATCGTGGTTTTAATTTCGTAATAATATTGCGTTTATAATTAGACATAATTATGATGTACTTACCTATCTTTTGTTGTATTTTTTTCGATAGTACACGTAACATTTTGGAAATAAACGCGATCGTATTATAATAGTATTATTTTATTATATTACCAGCAGGACACACTGAATGACAACACGGTATAACAAATACCTAATGTTGGATAAGTACCCGGGAAAACAATTTTGGTTACAAGTCCGTTACTGCTGTACACTGTGTCTATAGGACAAATATTATAATGGGTATTACAGCACGTTTATACGATGTATTGTTGTACGACCTATCTACACAATTAGTATGGGTAATAATTATTATTTAGATATTAGATAGATACCTGGCTTCAGCTATGTAGACCATATTCCCACATCCATAGATTGTAATCTACATAATTTTGACTTTTCAAGGACGTACGGCCTATATTGGCGTACATTCAATGCATCACGAGCACCTAGCTGTTATCTATCTATAGGTGTCTATAGGTAGGTATTTATAGAGGTATCTATCTAATCTATCTTGGTTGTATATTTTTGGGTGGGCGCATAACTTACATATTCTCCTGCCAATCTTGTACGAGTTCTTTTATAAACATTATATATTATAACAGAGTAGGTGTTTATTGCATTTTGTTGTTAAAATCTGCTGATTTAGATATTTTTCACTGCCTATCCACGAATATTGTCCTAGTTTTTTTTGCCAAAAACGAAAATGGTACGATTCCCGTTTCTGCCAAATTGTTATGTTGTTAATGTTAATGTTGTTCCGCCATATTATATTTTTTGTTTATAATTCGTTATAGTCAGTATGTCAATAATAAAACAATTAAATTAGTTTTTTAAAAAAATCACATAATATCCATTAGGTATATTTAAATATTTCGAACGGTCATAGCAATAGACAATCAAATACCTGCTGATCTCAATACTCGGCGGTCGTGTATTCGCGTTTTCTTGTTTCTAAATAATTTTAAATTTGTACAATTCTTGTTTTTCGTTGGTGATGTCGAATGGTCGAGTTTTGATTACATCCGGTTGTAGCAGGTATGCGTCAGATTGCGTCCCGCGATCGAAAAATCGATAATCTTTCGATTGCGTCCGGCATTATTATTTTAAGTTGCTGCAAGCCGCATATTAGACTGGCAAATTAAGTACCGTTGGTTTTTATCATTATAAAAATAACAACATAGTATCAGAAATTAATTCCAACACAGAGAAAAGTATAACAAAAACCAAGAATTTATCGAAAAATAAATTAACAATCTAAAGGTACAGTCCAAGCAATATTTTGTTGGCAACATGTATCCCGTCAACTGTTAACAAGACAACCAACAGTTGTCAACAAAATGTTGCTTGGTCTGCTGTGCATACCTTAAGAAATAATAATAGGTATATCCTCATTTAGACTATTAGAAAAAAATGTCACTCAAATCGTTTTCCTCTCAATAATAATTACAAATCTTGACTGGAAGGAACTAAAGAATGTTAACTGTAAATTTAAAATATTTACAATTTCAAACAAAAGATAACAATAATTGCGTTAATTATATTAATGAAAATATTGACAATAGAACTATTTATACAATTTTGGTTCTTTTCCTATAATTGGGTAAAGTTTGCAAAGATTTTTTTATTGTAATGTTTATTATTTATTTTGTTTATTTCTTCGGAAAGATAAAGATGTAAAGATGTATTATATTTGATGAGTATTCTGAGTATTTTGATAAATTTTAGATTATAATATCATTACAAAATTATCAATAAAAATATTATTATCAATCATTCTAGATAGGATATTTATGAATGAGTCATTAATGTTTTTAATAAAGTTAGAATAATATTATATTACCGTTAGTTTTAAAACAGTTATTTTTCATGTTTGAAAATATTTTCGAATAGTAAACATTAGTTTTCGTCAGTTGTCTATGTTGTAATTTAGTATTATTGGAATAAAATGAAATTTGTTTAGTTATATACCTAGTTATATTTTAATAAAATTTTTTTAAATTTAATTTTTAAATTAGATAGTTTATACCTAATTAAAGATTTAATGCTACATAAGGTTAAAACTGTTTGTAAATAAATTATGATGTAATATGTGTGTCCAATACTAAAGCTAATAAAGTTTATTTTTCCAATTACAAAGTAAAGATTTAAATATAATATTGTTGTAAGAATTTTAATTATTATAATGTTAAATGTAAATATTATAAAAAACTAAGTTTTTCATTAGTTCTTATTTGGGTTTATTTTGGACATTTCGTCCTTTTTGCAGTAAATTCTACCATTACTTGTCTAAATGTACCTATAACTTACTTCCTTCACCTTTGTTCTGGTTTCCCAAAATAGTTTTCCGTTCTTGATCT